TACCAATTTGTGTATTCACAAATGTGTATTCAAACTTTCACCTATAGGTGGCAGTATGACCCAACACAAGCGCTACAGTGGACATGAGAAAGAAAATTATCTGACATATGACATATTTGTTTTCCTTTGTTATTGTAAACAATTCATAAAAGTCGTATTTTCTTCTCATCAACTACGTACGAAATTTCACATTATTTTACAATATAATCTAAATCAAACAATATTATCAATATGGAGTCGAAATATATCGATCAATCAGAAAATTTTAATGCTGATCAATGGAAAAAATCAACTCTCAATATGTTGGAAGTGATGAGATCAACATGCGAAAAGTGAACGTGATGATTTTAAGAAAGATTTTCAAAATGAATCTTGGGACGAATACGAAAAAATTTCCAGTTGCCGAACGCAAATTTCTTGACGAATCATGTCAAGCTACACAGTAAGAAAATATCAGCCTACGCTATACGCAAAACCTACTGGTACATGTGCTCATACGCGAAGATACGCACAAAGAGTAAAAGAATCAGTCGAAAAATCGTATGGTTACTAGATGTAAAAGATGTAAAAACGTATGAGCGCACGTACCAGTAGATTTTGCGTATAGCGTCGGCTGATATTTTCTTACTGTGTATATACGCCGAAATATGGTTAATCAGACAACGAGCCCATGCAAGAGTTCTAAGAGGAAAGCAATTGATTGCAAAGTAAGTGTTTTGTCATTGCAATTAATTTTAAATTTGAGTAAATTGAATATATTACTTTTTCAGGATACGTGCAAGAGATGGAGACGAAGGTTTTGGATTCAAACTCATAATTCAACAATGAAATGTGCTGTTTCCATTGAAGTACAAGCTGATTTCGCAGAACAAATGAAAATTTTTTTTGCCATAAAGCAACAACAATACACTGAATATGCAAATGACATTTGTGATATCACGTTTTATGTCTATTGAAATCAGTTAATAATAGAAAATTAGTGAAAAGTTGATTTTAAAACTTTTTCGTTCAATCTTTTTTTTGTTTAAACACAAAAATGGAAAAACAAGATGAAGAAAACCAAGGAAATTGTCTAATCTGCCTAAATGATCTGGAAATAGGCGAAGCAGATAACCCTCATCCGAAATTTACTTACAAATGTCTTGAATGCGTTGCTGTTTCACATGTATTCTGTTTGGCTCAATGGATGAATTCGTTCGTTCGTTCGTAGAAAATAAAATGTTCGGTTTGTTCGTTCGTTGTTCGTAGGAAAAGTATGAAAATAAAATAATTATTTAATTAGTGAAATCGAAAGAAGATTATATTTTGTGAATTTTGGTATTGATAACATAAATTATAGGAAAAAATTGAACAAAACAAATATTATTTACTTAAAATAAACAACGTAATAGTCAATATAATTGAATTTGCATTGTTAAAAATCGATAAATTTATTACGATTTATTGAATTACTATTTTATTTTAAAAAATCCAAAAACATAAAATACAATAATAATATTAAATTATTTATAAGAATCAAACCAAATTTGCTGTTAGCAAGTAACATTAGTAATCGATTTTGTGTTTTTTTTTTCCAAAGTAATAATTCAATAAATCATAATAAAATTATCGACTGTAGAAAATATACATTCTTTTACCTATAGTTGGATAGAATTTTATTCTTGAATAGTTGGAAAAGGTCCTCAATTAGAATATTACAATAATAGTTGAAATTATTTGCTTCAACTCATTTTATTAGTTGTCATCGATATTACGGAACAAATGCAAATTTAATTACTATATTGATTATTACGCTTTTGTTCAATTTTTTTTTATAATTCATGTTTTCAATACCAAAATTCACAAAATATAATCTACTTTCAATTTCACCAGTAAAATAATTATTTTATTTTCATACTTTTCCTACGAACAACGAACGAACAAACGAACGAACGAACGAACAATCCGAACATTTTAATTTCTACGAACGAACGAACGAACGCAATTCATTTCTACGAACGAACGAACGAACAAAAATTCAATAAAAATGACTACGAACGAACGAACCGTTCGTTCGTTGGTGTTCGTTGACAGCTCTGGTTCAGGGTTCCTAAAAATATTTTAGAGGGGGGTCATCCGAACTCATGAATCATCATCTAGATTTGAGAAGTTATTATTTTGTGTGTGAATTTCGCGATTTGACATTTATGGCATGTGGTAAATAATCGTATTAGCTGTGGTAAAATACAAGAGAAATGTTTGAGACATTTACTACACAAGCTCATGTAATTTAACGCAGTTAGTAAATATTTACCGATTTTCAATGTTAAAGAACATTTAAATGCCGAAAGTGGCTAATACTCTATCGATATATATTTAATATATGTTTCAAACTTTTTTCCATACAGATAAAGGAAGATGATGAGAAGAAAGATTTGTGGCTAATAATAGCAGTATTTAGTGCACTACTTGGTGCCATGACATCGGTATTTTTGTTTAATTGCATCCGAACACTAATTCGAGATCAGAAAATTATAAGAGTGAGCAATTTTACACTATAAATTATACAATGGACAGATATACTAGATACAGTCTATGTATTTCGGATGGATATCCATCCGAGATATTTTAGAATATATATTTTAGAATATTCAACGCAACTGCACAGCGCCAGAGCTGTGTGCGTCGCAAATAGAATCTACGGTATTTCGCTTCATATATGTGTATCAAGTGCCCCATGTACACAGTCACACTGTGTCTGTATTTTTCGTGTAGCGACATACCGTAGATTATATGTGAGACATACACAGCTCTGGCTCTGTGCAGTTGCGTTAAATATCCAAATATTCTAAAATATATCGGATGAATATCCATCCAAAATACATAGACTGACTAGATATAAATACAAAGAGTACCAAATAGCAGCTATTTTGTGAAATACAGTGAATAATTAATATAATAAAAATATTCGATCAGAATTGTATCATAAAGTCAGTCAGTTACAAATAGCGCCTATGAATGGGAGCTGTGAAAATAGCACTGCTATAGCTGAAGCTACAATATATTCACTGGAAAATATCTATTTGTCTATCCAGTTCCTTTGTATCTATAAATGCCAGTATTAAATTGGATCACTCAATTACTGAGTTTTTTGTTTCCTTGTTCATCTCTGCGTATATATACATACTTTGTACATTTTTAGGAAACCATTCGACAATCAAAAGAGAGTAAGCTGGATGAAGCAGGTCGCATGTCCATAAAACGGTCTCTAGAGAATGTAAACCGAATAATTCCTGGGTAAGTTTCAGTGCTGCTTTGATCTGATTCCACATCGCATAGAGACCACCAATTCATTTTTTTCAATTGGTGTTAACGGGGAAACCATTATTACCATCGTAATGTATATAATTCCATCTAGTCCAAAAATAATTCCAGATAATTCCATATAGTTCAAATAGTAGTAGTGCAGATGACTTAGTTTTGATGTTTATATCAGACTCGATAGAACTATAATAATATATAATATACTAATATATCACACTATTTTTTTCATTTTTCGCCATTTTTTACCATTTACATGGCAACCTTATATGAAACTCTCGGGGATTCGGTATAGAGCACAAAAAGTGAAAAAAAAAAAAACAAATTTTTCTCAATTCTCGAACACAGCTAAGTCGTCTATATCATACAGACAGAGTATCATGATTTGCTGCTGCTCAGCATATAGCTGAGAGCTGAGAAATGCTGAACTCGTGCGGCTAACGCATACGAAACGGATGCACGATACATATTCCCCTTTCGCTTCGTATGTGCTGCCGTTGACGCTATTGCCAGTACAACGGTAACACACTATACCAGCGAACATACGAAGTGAAAGGGGGAATATGTATCGTGCATCCGTTTCGTATGCGTTAGCCGCACGAGTTCAGCATTTCTCAGCTCTCAGCTATATGCTGAGCAGCAGCAAATCAAGATGCTCTGGCACAAAAGAGAATGAAACATTTACATATGGCTATATTTGATGTTTTTTGACCATATCCCATATCTGGAATTATTCTTGTACTAGATGGAATTATATGAATCACGTTTTTGTAGTAGTAGTCCGCTTGTGTTTTTATCTTGTTTTCTACTTTTTTCTTATCTGTAACACAGTGCTACGGGCTATGCAATAGAGCCAAGATTAAAACAAATACAAGACGAAAATGCAGGCCATATATTTCGAGAAACCACATCAGCATCATCAATATCAGATAGTATAAATAGGAATAATAAAAACCAATATAGTTATAGGGATGAGGTAAATGTTGACTATTTCATTACTCTCATGTATTACTCTGTGTGCGCGTGAATTGAATGAATAAAGCAGACATGATATTGAGATATTTTTAGCGAGATGAATCCGGATGAATCAATTCAGGCAGCTTCAGGCGCTGAAATGAAGTGAAAACAATAGAAATGATTGTTATAGTTATAAAAACACTTTCATTGTGTCCATCACTATAACAATCACTTTTATTGTTTTCACTTCATTTCAGCGCCTGACGATAGCCGCCTGAGCTGATTCATTTCGCTGAAAATATCTCAATATAACGTCTAGAACGAAGTAAATGGTTCTTTCTCTCTCTCAGAAAAGAACCTTGTACACTGAGCGAGACGTCTATATAACTCAAATCAATGATCCAATTTTTAAGTTTTGTAATGCGTTAACACATGGCTTTAAAGTGGGTATCAGCACCGTCATCCTAAATATCACTGTGAAAATGTTCACATTAGCCAATGTACATGGCTCATTCATTCTTGGTTGATTGTCAAGTAAATATTTAGTTATATAGATATAAAACGGGAGAAAAAGAGATTTGTATGTGCAAAAAAGAAAGAGTGCAAGTATTTTTGTTTGGGTATGGAGATGCGAATGACAATTATATAATATACATACAGAAACACCCACACATATATGAAACAGTATGCAACAGTTGCATGTCATGATGTTACATCTGTAATATTCTGTATATTTTTAATATAAAAGTTGCATTGTAACATCATAAAACACATTGCATGTTGTAGATAATGATAGTATAGTGCAAGTATATATATAGTTTTTCATATAAAATAATTGTAATAACATTTTTATTTTATTTTTTGCACCTATTCCTTAGCTAAAGAAAATTTTACGAAATCCACCACCTAAGGCATACAACAATAATGAACATGCCGAACAATATGGGAATGAAGGTGTATGTGACATGGCGTGTCAAACGAGGTGTGTTCTTATAAAATATAGACTTTAGCTTATATTTATTCCTCATTCTTATTTGGCTGCATCGAACACGTATCGATGAACAATTCAAAATTCTATGCACTTGCATTTCTACTTCTGAACTTTCAAACATATGTACATGTAATAGCTACATGCATAAATTCATTTCCCATCTAAATCTCATTTGGCATTTGTACAGAGCCAGATGAATTGCTTTAAATAAGAACAATGAATGTCATAATTTAATAAGATTTTTTTATGCATGATGTTATGCATACAATATGTCTCGTAATTTCTATGATTTTTTTCATTTCTACATTTTAAGTGAAATGGCTCATTGGTTCCGACCACAAAAACATATTTTTTCAACTTTGTTCGTGCCCAGCTCTGACTAACACTAACAATGAAAAATCTGTTTTTATATATAAAAAGATATGCACTAGTTTTGCCTATACCATCGAATCTAATATATTGCCAAATGTATTTCATATTTATTGAAATTTTAGAGAATCACTATTTGCAAGTGGAATTAGCAGTAGTACTAAATTGCCGCCATCAAATACACAAGCACCTGAAGACGTCGTCGTTGGTGTACAAGTAATGCCAATGCAATCAACATACGATAACCGACGATATGCATCGATCACGCCAGATCGTTTGAATTCCACATCACCAACAATATCCAATTTAAGCACATTTGGCAGCGGACCCAAGAAAAATGCCATCAAAATGGAACAATCAGAACTAATGCTTGAGATTCGAAATTCAGCCCCTGATGTAATAATCATGACTAGTCACTGAGTTAGGCACAACACAAAAATGATTATACTTGTCAACATCACCAAAACAATGAACAATTTAATGCCACATTTAACTTTTTAAACACACCAATATTTATATGACAAGAAGAACAAAAGAAGGAGGTGGTGAAAAAGTAAATGTATCGTATAGACTATATAACGTTAAAAAAACATGAATATACTTAAAATCAATAAAACGTTTAGCCAATCTATAAATAAAACACAAAATTTATTCTCTTACCAACGACAATGATATATTATAAATAAAAAAAAAATAAACTGGCTCATTAATATGAACGCTTTTGAAGATTTAACACAAAAATGGAAATAATCATTTTACAAAAAGTAATGTTGTTTTGTTTTCAATAAAAAAAATCTCACCAAATGATGATTGTTGATTGTGTCAAACTATTCTGGACAATTTTTGTTTTAATGCAACATTCACATCAAGCCAGACAATATATTGAATTAACTGGTCAGTTGAGCTGACAGTACGTTAGCCAGCTAAATGAGCTAAAACAATAGACGTTATTGTTTTAATGATGAATCACTTCTCTTGTTTTAATATAAGTGATTGTTCACTAAAACAATAACTTCTATTGTCTTAGTCCATTTAGCTGGCTAACGTACTGTCAGCTCAAATGACCAGTTAATTCAATATATTGTCTGCATCAAGCGAAATCAAGTAACAAATACGATTTATTTTACAAAACAATAATAAAAGAATGGGAGAAAGAAAAAATGGACAAAATTCATCCAACTTGGCTTATTTTTCCCCTGGCCATTTTGTTGTACATCTATTGTGTTTATCAAACATTTGATATTTTTGACAAGTGAACTATCTATGTTGATGTTTTACCGACAATTTACTTGATTTGCTTGATTTTAACGATTTTTTCGGACTGTGCGTTAAATTTGTAAATAGATTTGGGTTTTTGGTGGCAAAACTTCTTTGAAGCCTTTTTGAAATTTTGGGGCGAAAATCCATTGTTGAATGTTAAAAAATTGGACATTAACAAAGATTTGGATGTTACGAATTTGGAGGGAATCCCAGATAAATTCCCAAAACTGGAACGAATTCACTTTTCAGAAAGCGACGGCAAATTATATTTTACCATTTGTACGGCAATCAAAAAGTTTAAAAGCAATGAAAATTGATTTACTCGTCATAGAATATGGTGTACTTGATTTTGTGGCATTGGATATAAGCGCACAACCTATAAGGAGCAAAGATCGCCGTGAAGAAATTGAAGAAATTTGCGACATGTTTGGAGACTTTTGATCAGTAATTCCTTACTAAAGAAATTAGTAATTCTACAGAACGTAGAAAAATTAGCGAATTACTATGAATATATATACATTGATTCAATGAATACTATATTAACCATTTATCATTGGGAATTACCAATGACAACGATTTTAAAAACTTTATTATTTTATACTGTTTACTTACATCACATTTTAAACATTTATTTACATCGCAGTAACACCAAATCATCTTCCTCGTCAAATAATTTAAGCAACACAGCCACAACAACGCCATCATCATGGGATGCTGGTCATCATCATTATCACAGTACAGCTGGTTCGTCTGTCTGGCGACTGCGGTCGCATTTGGTGGTGATTCTGAAAGTTTAGCAAACGTAAATTTGGCCTATATTATGGCTGGTGCAAGTGGTTCACTTTCAGTCAGTTTCGGTAGTTCAGCTCCATCGGCCATTGATCCCGAAGCGGCAGAAGATCCAGGCGTTGGACGTTTACAAGCATTGAGGCTACAGGCATTCCACCTCATGTATGATTGGCTTTGTATTATGGCCAAAAAGCAAGAACAAGAATTACGAGACCTCTTCTTCCAAACTGAATCCATATACGAAGCTAAGTTCATTGAAATCAACAACATTGACATAGTCGCACACCGAAAAGATGATATTTTATTACCAGAAATTCACGAATCTGTACGAAAGACTCGGTCTGCGAGACCAAAACAAGTGCATAATGCCGACCGAAGTAATGAAAATGACTGAAATGTTTTACACAAATTTGATGATTACAGTGAAGATGAAAGTATATGACAGTAGCGACAGCGATGAGGAATACATGCCAACGAAATAATAAAAAGAAAAACATCATCTATGGAAATGAGGACGTTCCAAACAAAATTCAAACTGAATTTTCGAATGCGACGGTTCAGTGTGAATTACATGAATGCTTGAGATGTGGTCAGATATTCAAGAGCAAAATGGATTTGATGGTAAGTTTATATTGCTACATTGTTCAAAATCGTAATATCCCAATTTGTCTTTGTGACTAATCACATTAGAACCACAGACTATGTCGAAACCGACAGCTAGAACCACTGGAAAAGACCTATCAATGCAACATATGCTCATTTTTTCTGAATGACCAAGAATCATTTGATGATCACAAGAAACAACACGAAGACAAATCATCGCCATTTGAATGCGTTATTTGCAATAAAGTTATGTCATCGAAAGGCGTTCTAACGAGACATATGAATGTTCATATTGTAAGTAAAAAAACAGATTTTCAATTTTATATGTGCGGTATAAAGTCCAATTTTTCATTGATTTTCTTCGATTTCAGGGCAACGTTTCGGGCGTGTGTGAGATCTGTGGCAAAGCATTTATTCATCAAAGTTCTCTAGAAACACATATGAAATTCCATAAAAATATACGAACAAAAAAATGGCCAGATTGTCCAATGATATTTGTCACAACGTCTCATTTACGACAACACCTTCAAACCCATGTACGTTACTCACTGGCACGATTTGTCTTTAATATTTTCAATTATAATTATGTGAATTCATGTTCTGCTCATTCTTTTCAGAGGAAAGATAAACCATACACATGTAACATTTGTGGCAACTTGAAAGCGCATGAGAAATTACATTTGGGAACCGATAAAATTAATAAGTGTTCGCAATGCGATACACAATTTGCAAGGCACTCCAAACTAATGCAACATATTCAGCAGCAGCATTAATTTTATTGTTTATAAACCATAAATTAATTAATCTTAAAATGTTCCACATTGAAAATAAAAATGACAAACATTTCAGTGCAGTCTTTGTGCTCTAGTTTTTCCTAAAATAATCGTATTTCCACCGCAAATGAAACATTTACAATGTATTCATTCAAAAATAAACATTTTCGTTCATGAAACGACTGCATTCGCTATGGTTAAAGCCATTAGACGTATCCATTTTCGATCAGCTGATTTTTCGTACATGCAACAACACTCCTATTTGGCATCTCTTTGATGTTGTATGAGTGTCTTGAAGTGAATGAAGTGCGATGGTTAGCCATTTGCATCGATAGAATCTTTCATTGTGAAAAATCCATGTCAAAGTTATTCGTATGTTTCAATATCGCAACGATGGCATTTTTTCGTGTTCAAATTCTATCGATGAGTGTGTTTTTTGTCCAAATCTGAATTGGCACAGTCAAAATACACTAAATTGAATGGTATATACACAATAATTGAAAGTTTTGACTAATCAAAAATCAATACGTCAAAGTGCAAACAAATTATTATAAAAACAAAGACCCAATTAAAACAAAGACCCAAGTGTTTTTTTTCTTACGAAATTCTCGATTTATTTTTGTTTCTTGACGCAACCCAGTGCAGAATTATAAAATATGGGAAAGATGCAATATTTGAGGACGATTTAATTGCCAACATTAATTGTGCATGTACACTCTATAATCCAATATTGTTTGTTCCGTTTCGAGTTGATGATATCAATACGTTCTTCGGCCGTATATTTCGATAAGTTTGTTTGGCATAGGTTTCATTTTGCAAAGTTAGAAAGTGAATTGCGGAAAATATTCATGAGAGAATAAGACGAAAAATTTGTTTTTGTTTATTTTTGTGTGAAAACTATTGAAAACTGAAAGTCAGGCAAGTGTGCTCGATAGTTTGCATGAAAGTGGAGCAAAAATAAAGTACACATTGAAAAGCTACTCAAAGCTACAATCAAAGGTTGTTTTTGCTATATTATGCAGTTTTTGTCTATCTTTCCTGAAAATAACGCGTCATTATAAGTGAGACAGACAAAAGTCATATGTACAATTTTCATACGAGCAAATAAACCGAATTGGCAAACACAAAAACGATTGATTTGGTGCGTGTGAAACAATTTCCTTTTTGGGATCAAGGGTAAGTGCATTTGAAGTTCCGACTAATTTCCACATGATTGAAATTCATTTTCGTATTTTTTAAATTTAATTTGAAATTCATGCAATAATTTTCGTCGGATTGAATACGTAATATGGGTGGATGTGGCCAGTGTAAATATTTCATAATTGAAATGGGAAAAGTGAAGAAGCACAAGCCCTTTGTTTTTATTTCTCATTTAGTAGTTAGAGCAATATCATAAGTTAGAATAGATACAAATAGTACTTCTGAGAAACTACTATTCCGTATTTAGGTCATTCGTAAGAGAAAAATAATGACGTTGAAAACCATTGGGAAAATGAATAAGCAACAATTCAGTTTAATATTTAAAAAGACAGACTATATCAGACAGCTTCAATATGGACGATCAATTTTTTTTGATGCTTTCCACATTCTTCCGATTAACTTGGTTCGATCATTTTAATATGAACGAAGCCAACATTTGCATGACGTGAATTGAGGTTTTCTTCATTGTTGTTCGCATTATACTTGTTTTTGGTTTAAATTCGATCTCTTCGATTTTCCTGTACTCGGTTTCGCTGTGAAAACGTTTTACGCTTTAAACGAACTCACACAGAAAATCAAAACCGAAATACACACACGAGAAACGTCGTTAGAAAGAGAACGAAACATTCGGTAACAGCAATAGAACGAAACACATGCTTCGAAATCAAGTATTCAAGAAGCAAGCCCCTTAATCTTAATCACCAACACATTTGTTAAGCACTTCAATACTTTTAACGCTCGTTGGTGTGTTGCACGAATACGATCGACCATATATACATGCTTGTCTCTGTGTGTGAATGAGTATATGCCTAATGCAATACCATAGGGTGGCTTGTAAATTTCTTGAAGTTTCTAGAAGAAAAATTACCATTGAAATGAATAAATTCGATTTTCAAGTAAATTTCAAATTTAACGAAAATTTCGTTCATCTTTCGGACAAAAATCAAGTCAAATGGCTGACACTATTTATGAAAAACATTGATCGTAACACCCTAATTATGCGAACAAAAACAACATGGCATACACAATTGTGATACGGTACCACTACACATACACTCACACATCGAAGCGAATAACAAAACACACGAGCAGTGCATGAAATGTTTTAGCATGTCAGTCGAAGGAAGCACAAGGTTGAATAGCGTTCAGAATACACACATTTTCATATCAAATCATTTCGTATTTCGTACACACAACGTTTTATATTTTTATGCCTCTGTCGTAATAACAGTGCAAAGAATTCATCGGGCAAAGGCGTACACCAATGCCGCTGCGGAAAAAAGTTTGGAAAATTTCAAATAATTTATAGATTTTGTGTTCGAAAAATTATATAGAATAAAGTGCATTAAGACTCTGGTCTGCACGTATAGTGAAGCAATTCGAGTGAATGAGTAAAATCGTCTGCCGTTTTGTTCTTCGTTTAGCTGAAAACGGAAATAATTGTGAACAAAAGGGCCCAGAAAAATCTCGTAAGTTTTTTTCTACATTATTTTTTTTTCGTCGCGAATTCGATATATTTCGAGATAATATCAAAATTCAAGTTGACTTTTTGTAAAAAAAAAACATTGAACAGTTCGTTAAAATAGAAAAGTCAAAGTGCGGGTTTGCGTCGACACCAAATCAATTACGCTTCTCCATTTTTCTTTCTTATGTGTATTTTTTTTTCGTTCGTTCGTTCTTCGCCTATATTAGGATGGCATCGCGCATTAGTGTGAATTTCTGAAGAATTTCGTCATTTTAAGCAATTTTTTTTTCTTTCTCAACTCAAAAATTCGAGACAACTGTTAGTCAATAGAAGCAAATGATACTTCTACGTTCATCATTCCTTTCAATAGCCATAAGCTAAAGGTCAAACCTATACAGTTCTTTATTTCTTAATTACCATATGACAGACTGTGTCCCTTTGATAGGATTTGACAAAACGACATTTGTAAAATTCATGGAACGTGTGAGTGAATGAGAAAAAATTCCATGAAGGCGAAAATCACAAATACATCGATTCAACGGAAATCAGTTAATTCATATAACTCAATGTTGACATTGTAATTATTGAATGTGCGTAAATATGTTGAAATCAATTTGAAAATTATGCAATTTGTGTGTTTAGTGTTCCCAATTGGTGTAATTCATTCGACAATATTTTGAATGTCGACAAAATTGCAAGACTGTATCCCCAATTTTTTTTCTTTTGTCTCGTGATTTCGCCAAACGATTACATGTATAAACAGGAATGTGTGGTGAGTTTCATGTTGAATCAGCTGCGTCACACAAAGCTAATGTCTACTGCTTCTGTTTTTTTTTATTTGTTCTAACGACCAAACCAGATTTCAGCACACGTTATGACAGCCACTTCGTATGTACTGCATATGCTTATTTTGCTGTTCATTACTGCTGTTAATGATGTTCTATATAGTTATGTTTTATGCACTTTTTCGTAGACGCTATTCCATAATGATTTTTTTTGTTTTGAATTGTTTTATTTCAAAACGACCCATTGTCGATTTTATTGACTCAACGATGCTTTTTTCTTTGTTGTGTTTGGCGACTTGAATTCACCTTCGAATAAATAAATCATTTGGCTGTCGCGTTCATTTTAACCTATTTTATCGGCTTTGGCTATAAAGTTGGCTAAAAAGAACAGTTAGTTGTGTGTGATGCCTTATTTAACAAAACAAGAGAGACGCTGGCAGCACATTAGTATCGATTCAGTCGGTTTGATTTCATCACACATTGCTCCAACCAAATGCGTTAAGTTACACGCACACTTCATGAGAACAGAGTAAAATCGAGTAAAATGCTTCATTCTCTTTCCACATTTGACACATAGTTCATAGTATTTCAAGTTTGTGTCGACTCGTACGAGGCAACAGCGTATTAGTTTACTAAAGGGCCGTCAAAATAAGGTTATTTCGCGTTGAACAAACGATAGTCACATTTCCAGCGGCTAAAAATCAACGATACGCCTATATAAAATAAGAGTTTGTCGGAACATTTCGTTCATCGCATCTATTCATTGCAAACACGTTCGGTCGATAGATTTTGAGCTATTCAAACTAAACAGCATCAAAAAGTGAACGGAGCGACCATAAAGAGTAGATTTTGTTTTAAAGTAACGCACGAATCAAGATTTTACTGAAACAATATTCGGATCTCCGACTTAACGTTTTGAAATGTCAAATGAAAACAAAATGGGCGTTTGAACCAAAACCAGAGTATCAAATTCATACCGAAAGAATAAACAAAACACAAATTCACACCGTAGTGTAGTGTTTTTGTGTTGACGAGCTGGTTTTAATTGAATCTTTATTGATTATGTCCATCATCATATATAAGTGTCACGCAAATATTGCTATTGACCAAACATTCTTTATCTTCAGATTATTTTTGTCGAGGGATTCGTAATGAAATGGTGGACATATATAATACATATTCGGTGCGAACTTGTTTATATACTCAAATACGGTCCATGTTTTCAATTCATTTGGAATGATAATAATTTGTATTCTCACGCGTGTAAAATTGTTGCTAACAATGAAAGTGAAGCGGACCCTCGAGCGGACCGAGTCTTTGAGACGACTGCAGTCGTCGACTGCATTCAACACGTACGTTGTATTTAATAGAAACACACGAACGTGAATATATATGTGTATGTAATGCGTGGTATTGATGACAAAAAAAAATGTTTTAACAATATTCACGATTTTAATTTTAAAATTGAAGTCACGGTAAATGTTTTGAATTTTGTTAGAGTCGGCACAGTAGTCATTCAAATTGTTTGTAGTACGAAAAATAGGCGAGCAAACCAGGTCAAATGTGGAAATGCCATTGCTTTGTTCCCCAAGATAACTCCCCAAAAACTGTGCTATTTTTTATTAAATATTCTCCATTGCGACGTAGAATTCGATGAGAGATAAGAGGTGAATGTTGTTCAACACGGCATGCCTTCTTTTTGGCATTCGATTAAGCAATACGTTTCTAACATCTGGAAAAATGTAAAAATCGTACGAAAAAGGCGTTGTATTATTCAGCAATGAATGCATCGACAATTTCATTTCAGTTACCAGTCTGGAGATAATAATTATCGTTGAAACGAAATAAAATAACAATACAATATCGTTGAAATTATCAGTTACACAGACTGGGCTCACTTGGCTGATGCTTTAGGGTAAAAATTATCATTCCAACATATGTCTATTGATACGCATAGAGAAAACTTCCTCTTTTTTCTCTGTCTCGAAAACAACAATATGTTGATGGTTTTTTTTTTGATGATTTATTCATTTATCCAATAATTTATATACCATAAAAACAATTAAACGTAACACGATCACACAGTATACGGTATAAATCCCTCAGAACATTCGAATATTTGTTTCGTAAACAAAAGAACGAAGTGCGTAAATTGATGTAAGGTATTATTTTTAAATGCGACCAACAAAAAACGAAATACTGTAAATAAAGAAAAAATACAATTGGATTTCTTTTGTTCAGCCAATGAAATCAAACTTTCGAATCGAATTTACAATTTCAAAACATGAATTCTCTCCATTTACAAAAAAAGGCACATATTGAATCCGTTTCACACAAACACATACATTGTGACTATGGATAGCATGAGGTGAAACACATATTGTTATCCTGATGTTTGTTGTGCCTTTTCTCTCTTCCTCTCTCTCTTCAATACAGACACTGTTCCCGGTCGGAATAATATGGGTCCCAGTGTGTTGTTGCATGTGAATACGGTTGCATTTAATATGCGCACTGTTATTGTTGTTGCTATTGTTGCTGCATAAGAGTGAGGAAATGCACTCAATATGCAAGAAGAAGAAGGAACAACAACAATAATAACAACCATTTATACAACAACAGTCGAGCGGTTAGTGACCCTTAGCAGACATTTTACTTATTCTGTTCTTCATACACTGTCATCAAAAACATTCTGCATGCATGTGCATTTATTGATGTGTATATGTGCATGTACACGAGTGTGTGTTTGTGTGCGTTCGATGCGTTCTCTATACTTTTTTGATAATTTCATTTTATGCGTCTCGAGAATCGGCTTCATCGAAGAACCTTTGCATTGTTGCTCCTGAGACACGAAAATTAAACAGAACTGAACTTCGTCTCTCTTTCTCTTTTTCTCTCTCTGATTGTCTCTATGTCTGCACTTTATTTCAATGCTTTCGCATGAAACAGCAAAATGCATAATTAATAACAAAGCAAAACCGCCTATCCACAACTGTTCCTTTCAAGCCTTCTACACAATATCGGTACAATAATATCTCTCATTGATCGAAGTACTAGTATCGGACTGAACTGGTCGGAAATGCATACGGGACGATTAAAAAACAACAACAGCAACAATAAAAATCGTCTCTCATGTATAAATAAATCGATGCCTTCAATTGTATTGTGGCTTGAATGTCCCTTATTTTTAAGTGACACGATACCTGCCATCATACGGGCATTATAATTTTCGATGCGATTCATAGTTTCATAAAATGGTTTATTTATAAATTATTTACATTTGGTGTGGCTTTATTTCGCTTCTTATCCTCACACAAATGCTTTCTATAGATGTCGCCCGTCATGGCAAAGCTTCGTGCATTAAGTTTCAGACATTTAAATGATATGAAGAAACGACTGGAATATTTTGGAAAGAAAAATTTCAAAACATTCATGTGAAATATGCATTTTGTTGCAAATTATCAAACAGCTGTTTGATCCACAGAGAACACAACGCTAGAACAAACAAAATTTCACAGTTCAGAGCGACCAAGAAAGTTTTAATGCCATAACAGTGGGTCGATTGTTTATGTTTTGCATAAAAAATAAAACAAAGCTCATAAACTAAATTGCTTTATTGCACATTAATATGCTGTGAATTTAGTTTGTGTGGCACAAGCAATATGCGCCATACAAATTATAATGTAGAAATAAAAATCATACGTACAAGCTCAGCAAAGACACACACACACAAACTTTACATATGAATGTCCGAGAATGAATGTGATACTTTACTTTGCGCATTACATACAAGTCAGCACTTTTTATATATCTCAGGAGAAGTCTCACATTCATTCTCAGGTAATCATATATATCATGTGTGATTATGTGCGCAAAACCACTGAATGTCTCAAATTTAGATAGCGGTACAACCGAAGCCTATCGAAATTATGATCACATTCAATTTGCATTGAATTAATCCGAAGATAATGAAATCTAAAGAAAAACATTGCGTTCATTCTTTTCTTCTTATCCCTTATCTACATATAATATCGCTGTAAAGCGAATGGAACTGCAAACGAACAGATAATTATTTATGTTGTTTATTTTGGGATGATTCTTAAATGAGAGTGCAACATAATGTTCACAAATCGAAGCGAAACGCTAAATACACATAGTCAGAACGATGACGACAAAGAAGACGACGACGACAACAACAACAAAACTGTATTTCACAAGGCAATGTTCTGCTTCCCATCAAGTCAAATTGAATTCGAACAAACACGCGTTCACTTCACTCGTACAATAAACCATTGTATAAAGTGTGCTTTGTTCTTCTTGTTGATCGTTGCCGCTGTGTATGTGCTGATGATGAGCATGTATTCGGTTCGAATGTCGGCCTAGTTCGTATACAGTACACGCACACATATCTATTAAACAGCTGAATGCGCAGTTGATGTGCAAGTGTGCGAAATGCCACATTCGCTACGAGGCCTGAGAGAGCCCTATTTTAGTTTGTTTTTGAGTGCGCGCAGGAAATGAGTCAAATAGAGACGAAAAACAAAGAAAGTGAGAAAAATAATAACTCAAAAGACATTTGTTTCCCATTTTGAACAGTTTTAACCGTACGAAAAAATCACAGCCATTCGTACGACATTACATTTTTGATACTTGTGAAGCGCACATTTCATTATAACATTGATTTTTTTTTATTCGCACAGCGTAATAATATCGCGTTTCAATATTTAACGCTGAACTTGAAATATTACTCATTAAACGTTGCAGTATTCGTGTTTGTTTTACGAGTTTATGATCGAAAGTTGTTTTTTTTTTTTTACTTTGCGTCAAAGTTTTGTATCGTTTTTGCGCAACAAAAAATTCCCTGATTTACAATTTCAAGTTCAAAACCACTGACGGATTTAATGTAAGTTTATTTTGTACGAATTTTTTATTGTTTGGCCGCCATTAATTTTGTTAGTTTCACACATTTCATACGATAAAAAGAAAATTATTGAAATTCAATAGACAAAATGAACAATGCATAAAAGTTCAAAGCAACTCGCACTTAAGCATTGAATTTCGATTGTCATTGTTGACTATAGTGTTTAAATTGCATAAAGAGCGCATCTCAGTTGTGAGAAATCCATGGCTTCAAATTAAAGAGTATTGAAAAAAAAACTTTAGTACGCTTTCCAAATAAAATTTTAAACGCCAGAAAAGCAAGTACACGAACCAATGAATATGCCACAGTGCATGGTGCAAGTGAAAAAAAGTCATGTGAAAAAGATAAACACTGAATCTGCTTACATGTTGAATGGATAAAGACCCATCTATTCGACAAACGAAGCAGACAAACAAACCAACAAAGATTGGTAATTTTCCTTTTGCGCGACAGAGAACTCAATAGCTGTTGCACATTGGTTGTATACGGTTTGCATTTGTGTGCGTGCATTATCGTGTATGTATGGCGCAGTGTGACTGCGATAGTTGAATAGATTTCTCGTTTAAGTGAAATAAACATCGGATCGACAACCAGAACGAGTCGTTGGAAAATTATTACCGTACATGTATGTGTGTGTATATGAAACAAACACGAGTCGTTGGTTCGACGTTGCTCGCGCAACGAAGCAGTCGAGCAGCTAAAACAGCAGTAGCCATTGTGAACGGCACATCAATAGTGAACGACGACTTTTTATAGTCGCAGTGTATGTGTGCCCTTTTTTCTTGCTTCTTCGAAACACAAAGAAGAGAAATAGGAGACAAAAATAACTGTGCAATATTGTTATTCGGAACATTTTGAAGTGTCCAAAAATCTGATGATTTTTGATACATGTGAAGCTAAAATTGCAACATTGAGATTAACATTTTTTCCATTCACATACTGCAAAAATATTGTGTTAGGTTGTTGTTTAAAAAAAATATTGAGTTCAACAGCATTTTTCATTTGTGAAAGAGATAAAATATTTTTTTTCTGCTTCTCTTAGTTCGAAAGGAGGTTTGTTTTATATTTATGTAATATGGAAAGTGAAGATAGAGGTGAACAGAGCCCTCGTCCAGTTCCATTGCTATCCGCTAGACACACACATCAGACTGTTGGATTGGTAACGCAAGAAGCACATAGAGAGTATTTTATTGCTCGTGATCGTCAAATTTCTGGTTTATCTCCTCGGGAACGATCTAGAAGTCCAGTTGGTTACGTGACACGAAGAGAATTTGAGTCATTGAGAACGGAAGTGTCGCAATTGTCACTTCAGCTCAACAGATTGACCGAACTTTTGGAAAACCATCTTGGAATTCGGCCAGGTCCTTCAAAGTGCGTTTCATACTCTTTTTCACAATTAATTTTTTACACGATTTGTTTTCTATTGCTTGATGTATAATCAAGCTTTAGAATTGTTTTCGGTTTGTTTGTTTGTTTTTACTACGCATAACTCAAGTAAGGTATCACCTATCAACTTGAAACCTATTTTTTCAAATTCCTGAGCCCAATCCACGAAAAATATATTTTTCTTTTTGGAAAATTCGTCTAAGAAAATTATTTTTCTTGTAAATGAGGTTTTTCCTAAGAATTTGTATGAGAACTACAAGACAACTTGATTTTAACGTTGTAACTCGAGTTCAAATTCTACGATTTTGTTTAAAATCGCTCAGTTTGTAGATCTTCAGATGCCCTTTCGAAAAAACATACCCAGAATACCCGATCGACCTCGTGACAAGTGGCTCTACTACAACAAACTACCGAATTTCTGTGTATTTTCATGAATTTTTTGACGAAAGTCGATATGACTCGAATTCAAATCATATAATTTTGATTGAATTGGTTAATTTTTCTGCGGATCTCTGGGGTTTTAAAATATTTTTCGAATTCCACTCGATTATGCATCGATACATCTAGCATTACTTCCAAGTCCTTTGGCAGTGTATTTTATATTAATTTTGTTTCATTTCTCCCCCTAATGCATTCATTTATTTTAACACCTTTTTATTTTTTTTCATTTCCATCATTTATAGCAATTAAGAAATATTTATTTAGTGTGAGTTAAGTTTAAGGCATTTAAAACCCATTTTTTCGACCATAAATTAAATATTTTGATTTAATGTCTTTTTAGGTACCGATGTCATGGATCAGCCTAATTTCATCGCAAGTCGTACACGATCAAAGACACACAGTTCTCCGTCACCGTATAAGAAACCAAAATTAACCCCGAAAACCAATTCAATTTCACCTAGTGTAGATACTAATATAGCTGCAACGCTGGGTTCAAACATACGCAAAACATCGACTCGGCATCATAACACCGAAAGTGCCAGTACGAGCACTTCACGGCGAACACCGACCAATAATTTATCGGCCGCACACGAAACGAACTCTTTTAACAATAACGTGAGTGAATTTATTATTATTAATTATTACTTTTATCATGATTGAAAACAATGAGTGCGATGATTTATTATTTATGACTGCGTTTTTTTTAGGTTTCACAATCGTTAAATCCAGCAAGTCTCCTAAGACGTAGTTCAAGAAGTAAGGTTCAGCAACCGACTGCAACGACGGGTTCCTGCGTTAGTTCCGCTGCAAGTACACAGGCTTGCACATCGTATCAAGTACGCGGTCCAGCTTCATCAGCAAACGAAGCTGGTGCTAGTGGTTCAACCTCGACAGTTGCATCACAGAGCAGCAGTTCGGGTAACAATAGCTCTAGACGGCGTCGAAAATCAGCCACATACATTGCAAACGCTGGAAAATTACATGATACAGACAACAATCAAGTTTTAGTTGAAGCTTCAACATCGGGAATGGCAAATAATGGATCTCGTGATGCAAATGCTCATAATCAGGGCCAAACTCATTACGGTAAAGCCAGCAAAAAATTCTCATTAAAACTACACAGAATGACATTCACTTCAGCTGACTCAAACTCTTCTTCTTCCACAAAAACCAACGAATTGATAGATATGTCAAATATACACAGTTTAAGACGGAGTCCACGTGGTAGTGTTAAGACAAGCAATTTAAGCACATCGGCGACCGTTCACACATCGCCATTAGCCGTCAATGCGTCATCAATCGCAACGTCAAAGTAAGTTGAAACATATCTTCTTCTTTTTTCAATTCGCATGCTCTAGCACTTTGACTCGGTTCTTTTATGCAAATACCCCGAAATGATAATGATTTAGAAAAAAACCAAAATTTGTGTTTATATGATTTTATACTGTTTACTTACATCAAATTTTAAACATTTATTTACATCGCAGCAACACCAAATCATCTTCCTCGTCAAATAATTTAAGCAACACAGCCACAACAACGCCATCACCATGGGATGCTGGTCATCATCATTATCACAGTACAGCTGGTTCGTCTGGTTCAAGCAGTAATAAACAATCATCGGCTTCATTGCGCGGAACAAGCTTCTTTTCGGCACTCGATTCAGCGCTCGCAATAACTCAAAGCCAACCATCCACTTCACAAACGGCCGGTGTTTCAGTTTCGCTTTCAAACAGCAATGGTTCGGCATCACAACAGACGTCAGCACTTCCCGCTAGTACAGCGGTCGCATTTAGTGGTGACTCTGAAAGTTTGGCAAACGTAAATTTGGCCCATAGTCTGGCTGGTGCAAGTGGTTCACTTCCAGTCAGTTTCGGTAGTTCGGCTCCATCGGCCATGGATCCCGAAGCGGCAGACGATCCAGACGTTGGACGTTTACAAGCATTGTTGGAGGCTAGAGGCATTCCACCTCATGTATTCGGTTCATTGGGTATGTTCAAATTGATTATTTCTCTTTTTTTTTTTTTCAGAAAACCTTACTGACTGAAATTTCTATATGAATTACAGCTCCTCGCATGCATCATTTATTGCACAGAACAATCGGTTCAAATAGTACGTCGAAAGCACAACAATTGCTACAAGGTTTGCAGTCGAATGATGAAAGCCAGCAATTGCAAGCAGCAATTGAAATGTGTCAAATGTTGGTGATGGGCAATGAAGATACTCTGGCAGGTTTTCCAGTAAAATTGGTTGTCCCAGCTCTCATCAATCTACTTCGAATGGAACACAATTTCGATATAATGAATCATGCATGTCGTGCACTCGCTTATATGCTCGAAGCATTGCCCCGATCATCGGCAACTGTGGTCGATGCCATTCCGGTGTTTCTTGAAAAATTGCAAGTCATTCAGTGTATGGATGTTGCTGAACAAAGTTTAACCGCATTGGAAATACTTTCACGTCGTCACAGCAAAGCCATTTTACAAGCCAACGGTATATCGGCTTGTTTAACGTATTTGGATTTCTTTTCGATGAACGCACAACGATCCGCCTTGGCCATAACTTCGCATTGTTGCTTAAATCTTCAGCCAGATGAATTTCATTTTGTAAGCGAATCATTGCCATTGATGTCACGTTTGCTAACGCAACAAGATAAAAAGTGTGTTGAATACGTATGCACGGCATTTTATCGTTTGGTTGAGAGTTTCCAACATGATCCAACCCGATTGCAAGAAATTGCCAAAAAAGATTTACTCAAAAATTGTCAACAACTATTGGTTGTAACGCCATCGATATTGAACTCAGGCACATTTACCAATGTAATTCGTATGCTCAGTATTATGTGCTCGAATTGTCCGGATCTGGCAATAACTCTATTGAAAATCGACATTGATGCAACGCTATTGTACTTGCTGACCGGATCATCTGATACTTTGGCAACACGACAAGCAAATGGCGGCACCACCGATATTGAATTAGTCGAACGAAATCCACAAGAATTATACGAAATCACCTGTTTGATTGGTGAATTAATGCCACGTTTGCCAAACGATGGAATATTCAGTGTGGATGCACTGTTTGAAAAACCAGTACAACAGGACCAGGTTACTTGGCAATGGCGCGGTGATCGTGGCACATGGCATTCTTATTCGATGATGGATTCGCGTGCAATCGAGGCTGCTCATCAAAATTCGGATGATGAAATCAGCTTATCAACAATGGGCCGAACATATACAATTGACTTTCATGCAATGCAACAAATAAACGAAGACACAGCAACCACACGACCAGTTCAACGGAAAATAAATCCAACAGCAAATGCAAACACAACACCAAATATGCTGGCCACTGACTCAAAGAATGCTAATACAGACGGTGCGGTTGGTTTTGGTGAATGTCTGCACGGTACCGGAACGGTTAATCTAGCATTACGACCACCAAATCCATATAGGGATGCTCGATTGGCTTGTTTGCGCGAAGAGCGCGGTCTTGCAGCCGAATTTATTAAAAATATGTTCTCAGTTTTGTACGAAGTGTACAGTTCATCAGCCGGTCCATCGGTTCGATTCAAGTGTTTACGTGCACTCTTGCGAATGGTGTATTTCGCAAGTGCAGATTTATTACGTGAAGTTTTAACAAATCAAATGCTATCGTCACACATTGCTGGCATGATGGCATCCAATGATTTGCGAATTGTTGTTGGTGCCGTTCAAATGGCCGAAATTCTTATGCAAAAATTACCGGAAATATTCGGTGTTCATTTCCGTCGTGATGGGGTTATGCATCAAATAAGTTTATTAGCCGATCCAAAATTGCCGATTTGCGAAAAATCGAAAAACACACCGTCGTTAAGCACCCCGTCAGTTACCGTTTATGAATTTGATTCGAGCAAATCAACACCGAGCAGTGTTTTAAGCTCGTGTTTCTCGCGAAACAGTAGTACTACGACAACACCATTGACTCATCATCAATCGGCACCAATGTAAGTTGATATTTGATTATTTTTTCCTTTAAATTTCGATGGCTTTTAACCTTGAAAAATACTAATTCTGTTACGTACATTATGTTCCTAGGCAACGCCGACACATGGGTCCATCTACGTCATCGGCAAGTTTCTCGTTGCAAGCCGGCGGCACAACTAATAGTCCGATGCCACTCAATCACCAACAACCATTGTCGACAGCATCCTTAGTTACCTTCCATCATCCAGGTAAGATAAATCTCTCTGTGTAACTATTCTAATTAAATGTCATACAAAATCCATATACATTTCATGTGGCTTATTTTTTGCACTGAATTCAATTAGTGTATTTGATTCGTGTTACTAATTCAGATCAAATCAAATTGTCTTTTCTCTATTTTGTACATGTTTCCCTTTTGTTTAACGTCTTTTACGAAAATCTACGCTCCCCACTATTTAAATGTATTTGAAACAAAAAAAAAATCCAATACTTCATAACACAAATCTCCGTTTAAATAACCAAATCCCAAAACAAACAAACAAAAAACCAAATACTTGTCCAAAACAAATCGAGTAGTAGAGTCAACTTCTAAAGATTATTCGCTACCGCCTCACCATAATAATTACCACCTGCATCATCATCATCAACAACAACAACAGCAACAGCAATACCAACGTCTTACAATCCACCATAATTCTCATGCACATTACATGCTCACAGGTACTTTCGATGAAGTTATACAAAAAACAATAGCACTTTAGCTCGCCTATAAACCTGAACGACTGTGTGTATTACTCTCCCACTCTCTCTCTCTCTCTACACTTACACATGTATATAGAAACGATTGGCTCAAAATTTTATCTCAATATCATTTTATCGGATCACAAATTATGTAGATAAACCTATTTCCTAATATATATTATGTTTTTAATATTAAAATATAAAATGCACCCTTATTTACTTACACCCCTTTCCCATTCAAAGTCAGCGCAAAAGTTTATCAAATTTCAAAATTAAACCAGGATGAAACGTCCCTCATTATTTTTGCTTATTATAAACCAATACTTTTGTTCTGATCGAAATCGAAATCGAAAATTTCTATGTTGGCATGGCACTCATTTGTTTGGTAGTTGGATGTTTTAAATCTTTTTTTTCCTGTATGTTATTATTGTTGTTGGTTATTGGATTCGACCTTTGTTTATTACATTTTAATGAAAAAAAAATTATTTTACAGAAGTGATGAGTGTTGGTGGCGATGTTGTAAGCGGCGGTGCATCCAGCAGCAGTGTCACCACAAACATTGCACTTCCAATTGATCAACAGCAACAACAGCAGCCGCAACAACAATCTCAGATTGGTCATTCAAGTCATTCGACACAATCACATGCGAATGCTATTCAAACAAAAATGTCAGATATATTAAAACGAAAAGCACCACCAAAGCGTAAATCTCAAACTTCATCACGATCAAAGACTCGAAATCAAGAGCACAACAACGAACAACCGTCGGTGATGCAAGAGTTGATGAATAAAGCATCAGCTTTGGGATCATCGGGACGTAGTACACCATCTACATCGTCGACACCAATGAATGTAGGCGCCAGTGGAAGTGCCGGCTCATCGGGATCGTCTCGTTCACGTTTCGGTTCAAGTTCAAAGACTTCATCGTTTTTGGCATCATTGAATCCAGCTCGTTGGGGTCGAACCACTTCAATGCATTCGCATTCATCGTCAAAAGACAGCGGTCATTCGAGCAGTAGCGGCGCTGGAACCAGTAGTTCAAGCACATTGATCAATGAACATTCGTCAAGCTCCAGTTTGATTGCAGCTGGAAATCGTGAAAAAGCACGCCAATGGATTCGTGAACATGCTGTTGAGTTCAATAAGCATTATGATGGTGAAAGTGATTTAGCTAGTGAACCAACAGTTTTAGTACGTTTGACCACCGTCATTCAGAATTTGAATGGAAATCTTGAAAGTTGCGTCGACGCACTTAATGATCTCAAGCATATCCTACTCATTAGTGATATATCACCGTTCGAATTCAATCACTCTGGTTTGATTCGTTCGATGCTTAAATTTATGACATCCGAACAAGAAGCCGTACACAGAGACGATAGACTGCGCGCTTTCTTAAACGTATTCACCGGTTTACCATTGAATACAACAAAGTAAGTTTTCTTTCACACACACACACATTCATTTTCACATAATAAATTTATTCGCTAATTTATTAAATCATTTGAATTTCAGTGTCAGCGGGTCTATTCTATCAAGTGCAAATATTGAGAACTCCGCATTTAGTTCATTTGTAGCCAAATTAAATGGTTGTGTCACCCAATTGGAACAGTTTCCGGTAAAAGTTCATGACTTTTACGGTGGTTCGAATACAAGTGCACTTAAATTTTTCAACACGCATCAATTAAAGTGCAACCTACAACGTCATCCAGATTGCACGAATTTGCGTCAATGGAAAGGTGGTACCGTTAAAATTGATCCATTGGCTTTGGTACAGGCCATCGAACGATATTTGGTTGTGCGTGGCTACGGTGGAATTCGTGTCGATTCCGAAGAAGACTCCGAAGAGGATATTGACGATAGCGTGGCAGCGGTTGTTATGTCACAAGCATCATTCAAACATAAGCTACAATTTTTGATTGGTGAAAATGTGTTGCCATATGATATGACTGTGTATCAGGCTATTCGACAGTTTTCGCCACTAGTTAATGATCAATCGGAAACCGATACAGAGTCAGATATAATGCAAAGTAAGTGGTTTTTAGCATTTTATTTCAATCGACTATTGTTACTAATGCTTATATAATTGAATTTTTGTGATAGGTAATGCAAGCATTTGGGTTCAACAGCATACCATTTACTATCGTCCAATTGAGGAAGAACCAAGTCAACACGCGCATAATCAACCCAGTGGTAGTAGTTCAAGTAATGCCGTTGGTGGTACATCGATCAGTACGCGAGCATCATCGTCCTCTTCGTCATCGTCTCGAAAACACTCAGAAAAATCGTCATCAAAGTCATCACGCAAGAAGTCTGAATATTGGACCGATGGCATTCATCAAGTTGTTTCGCCGATTTCAAGTTTCTTAACGAATTTATTGCCCAAAGATATAGTAACCGTTCAAGATGCATCTTTGGATGCTTTGTGCATGTTACGTATTGTGCATGCATTGAATCGACACTGGGAATCACTTTACAATGGCAACTTTACACATGAAGATATTATTCCGGCATCGGAATTCATTCACTCTAAGGTAAGAATATTATCAACCAACAAATATCTCTTGTTCAGACTTACTAATTGACCATTTTATCGATTTTCTTTATAGATAACGGCCAAAGCAAATCGCCAACTTCAAGATCCACTCGTGATAATGACTGGAAATCTTCCACAATGGTTACAGCAAATTGCAACAGTTTGCCCATTCCTGTTCCCATTCGAAACACGCCATTTGCTATTCTATGCCATAACATTCGATCGTGATCGTGCATTGCAACGCTTGCTTGAAACTACGCCTGATCTCAATTCAACGGATACCACCGAAAAAGTCACACCACGTTTAGATAAACGTAAACGTACCATATCACGTGAAGACATTCTCAAACAGGCCGAACACATCATTCAGGTAAATAAAAAATTGTTTCGACACACACACACACATGCAGTCACCAAATATGATGTTGATTTTGATTTTAAATTTGAATAGGACTTTGGACACACAAAAGCACTGCTTGAAATTCAATATGAAAATGAAGTTGGAACCGGTTTGGGACCAACGCTTGAATTCTACGCACTGGTTTCGGCTGAAATTCAACGCTGTGATTTAGGTTTATGGAATGAAAGTGATACGTATCATTCACCATCTTCATCAATCGATGACTGTGTTAAGAATGTGGTGAATGAAATGGAAGACGATCAACAAATGTCACAAACAGATGAACAAGGTAAATTTAATTTTATATTAATGATTATGACATTGTAATTGTAAACATTTTTCTTGCTTGCACCAATTTAGATGAGGTTAACAATGCACTGAATCCGATATCAAATTATCAAACGTCAGCGGCGAATGTTCGACAATACGTTCATGCCCAATTCGGTCTCTTCCCAATGCCAATCAGTCATAGTGCCAAACAAATACAAATCTCACGCACCAAATCAAAATTCAAGTTCTTGGGCAAATTTATGGCTAAGGCAATCATGGATAGTCGAATGGTATGTTACAAATTAGCTCGTCCACAATACAAATTTGCATACTCAAACTTTCCATGTTCTGTTTAAATTTATAGTTGGATCTACCATTTTCAATCCCATTCTATCGATGGTTGTTGTATGAAGACAGTTCACTTGGACTGGCCGATTTATCATCGGTGGCACCAGAAGTTCAAGTCTCATTGAAACGTTTGCAGAATATTGTACGTGAACGTGATGAAATTTTGGCAAATTCAGCCATAGATCAAGACACCAAAAATGTCAAGGTATATTTCAATGCATTCCTTCGTACACGGACCGTTGTAACATTGTTTTTTGTTTCATATTTTTTTTCTTCAAATAACAGATTGAAAGTTTACATTATGATGGCTGTCCAATTGCCGATTTGGGCTTGAACTTCACACTTCCAGGTCATGCAACCATTGAACTCCGTCGTGGTAGTCGAGATACTGCAGTCAATATTCATAATTTGCACCAATATGTCGCTTTAGTAACCCAATGGTTCTTAGTCGAAGGTGTACAAACACAATTCGAAGCACTCCGTGAAGGTAAAAATGATAAACAATTTTATTAATCTAACCGTTCATTATTTAATGTTGTGGATTTTTTATTCATTAATTAATAGGATTTGATTCGGTGTTCCAATCACAACGATTGCGTCTCTTCTATCCCGAAGAAATCGAAAAGGTGCTGTGCGGATCAAGTTTGAACAACTATCATCGTTGGGATGTGAAAATGTTGCAAGATTGTTGTCGTACCGACCATGGATTCACACCCGAATCGAAGGCCATTCAGTATTTGTATGAAATACTAAGCACATACAATCGCGAAGAACAACGTTTATTCTTGCAATTTGTCACCGGTTCACCGTGTTTGCCGACTGGCGGTTTCAAGGCATACAATCCACCATTGACCATTGTACGCAAAACACTCGATCCAAATGAGAATCCAGATGACTATTTGCCATCAGTCATGACATGTGTTAACTACTTGAAACTGCCCGAATATTCGAGTCGCGAAGCAATGCGTAGCAAATTGAAAACGGCATGTGTTGAAGGTAGCATGAGTTTCCATTTGTCTTAAATTCAACACAATCACAATGAAAACAATCAATGCTATCATATCAAGCATTTGCTGAACACAAAGAAAACCAATTCAGATGCCAAAATAGAACTTTATTTAATCGAAAATGGTCGAATGAAGAGAACCAATTATATCAATATGATCCCTTGAAAAAAACGATCTGTGAATTTGCCATTTGTGAAGCATTTTCTGTATCATCAATGTGAGAAAATCTAACAAACATGAATATCAAATAAAATCAAAATTGAAAGACAAAATATAATATACATAAATATTGGAATGAAATGAAAAGAATGATCATGTTAAAATCACCTAATCAAGTGATTTTTTGTATTTGGAAAAAAAAGAGAATGGATTTGAATGTTCAGTAGTAGTGGTTAAGCGAAGAAATTGTATTGCTATTCTCCAAAAATGAAATGAAGTGAGAATGTCACCGAAATAAATTCACATCAAATTAATTGAAATTATCTGAAGAAAATCCAACTTCAAAACGATTCTGTTGTAATGACAAAAATATTATGAAAAATTATGAAGTTTTGATTACAAAACAACCATAAAGAAATGAACATTCAAAAAATAAACCAATCGAATCGAAAACCATTATCTAAACAGTGAAAAAAACGAAAAAAAAGACCAAACATTAAATGTGTTGTTTTTTGTTTCTTCGAACACTAATTGGTTACAATTTGAATCTAATATATATATACAGTCTCATAGCTTTACATTCATAGTAATTGTCAAGGAAAATCATGAAATCCACAACATACACGTTCACATCAGAAATAGCTTGATTTGAATGGAGTGAAAACTGTACGGCGGCAATGCGATATTCTTTTCTCTATACTACATAGATCCAAGATCTAATTACATACCCTTCCCCCCTATTTGAACGTGTAATGAATACATTTATTTCAAACATACAACTATGGAACACAAAAAAAAAACAAGCGAAATCAAATGCGATAATTAGATGATACAAACGATTTAAAATAAACAATGAACAAAAATAGAACATATTTATCATTTCTAGCATTGTAAGAGTACATTTTTGGGTATAGCATTCTAATTTTAAAGATAATTGAATTGAAAGCTAGCAATAAAGTATCAAACAAATATACGTATTCTTGTGTTTTCTTTTGATCATTTTTTTTTTTAAAGTCGTGTCCATGTCACATATTTACTAACGACCTCATCAACGAAATGGCGGCTTAATGTCAATCTGCACATACGTATACAGCGCCATTCGATACAAATATTTGTTACATGCAAATTTGCGGTTAAAATCAGAATGAAAAACGAATGCAATATTAGGAAAAATTAAATGTTTTATTTAATTTATAACATTATCTTATCGTTTATTTTCGACATTTAAATCTTATATTGCAATTAGAAGCTATCTAGTCTATTAAATCACAAGAAGAATTCGGAGACATTGTTAAACTCTAATTAAAGGGCTGGCACCTTTACCAAAACAACTTTCGAGTATAATTCTTCGGTAATATTTTCATCGTATGATTCGTGCTCGTTGAAAATATGGTTGTCCAAATTGCCGCTTTGAATTTGTAGATAATTGCACGTATTGCATATGAAACCACACAGATCACCAGCAGATGAATTGATGTCGAAAATGCTTGTAACTTTCTCTTTTGAACAATTGTCGTGTTTGGCTTTGGTTTTTTGCAATTTTTTGCAACCAGAACAATAGAATGGGTTTTGTTCTCCGGTGTGAATAAGTAAATGCTTCATCCATGAATCTTTTTGCATTGTCATCAATTCTTCACAGAAGAAACATAAACCGTGAATTTGGTCATCGATTTGTACGAATTCTTCGTCTTGCTTACGAATTCGGGCGGCCATTGCAGGCGAAAGGCGTGAAATGAACACTTCAGTGTCTGGATGTTTTCGGGCATAATGAACTGCCAAATGTTTATCGCTAGATCCGCACAAAAAACAGAACGATTTATACAAATAGTTGCTGCAAAACACTTTTTTGTCGTCGTTTTTCGGAATTCGCGATGGTTCCACCTTAAACTTTGGTTTGGTCGTTGATTTTGGGAATTCACTGCGATACGATGACGATTGATCCGTGTTCGAAATGCCGTGTGACGTACTCGGTCCATCTTCACAGTAAGAAACATTGTTTGGCCGACGAGTCGATCTGGTGCGAGCTAAAGTGTAAACAATATGACAAATCAAAATGGTACCGTAAATAGTTCTATGTGTTTACCTGAAATGGGCTCGGGTTTTGGATTGATGAGGTCCACAGGTTCCGTTGGTTCTTCCACATTTACTGTGGCACTGGAATCATTTGAACTTCCCGTCTTCTCTTCTTTCTCCCGTTCATCATACTGTTCATCATCATCTGAATCATCAATCTGAATTGTTCCTGCTGCAAATTATCAAACATTTAAATGACCATTGGACAACAAATTCATATATATATATATTCTTACATTTTTGTGTGATAATTGAATTCTGCTGTACATTGTTGTCAGCTGAGCATTTTTCAATAGTGGAATGTGCTTGGACACACGATGACACTTCCATACACGGTATATTTTTGTCAATGTTGTGATTTTTATCCGATTTTGTCCATTTTTCTGATTCCGAATCCGAATCGATTACAATTGGTTCACTATTATCCATTTGATCGTCAACAAAATTATGGACAATAATAACAAAAAAATTTTTTGTTTTTTTCTTAATTTTCAATTTAAATTATGTATATGATCACGGTCAATGATTGACATCTATCGAGCTGTCAGTGCATCGAATATAATTATTGTGACTGTGTTCTTGAAGTGAACTGATAAATTTGAATAAACAATTTTCGCTTTGTAGCTAAAATGCTGCAAGCGCTCAAATTTGTTCGAAGATATACGCAAAAGTACCGCAAACCACCTCTTCAATGTGTATTTTGTTATTGTGTTGTTCGTTTATTTTGTTCCCTACACAAAACGAAGTGCATGTGTGAGTGAGAGAAAGAGCGTGTGAGAGAGAAAACGTCCAGAATCAGCGTATTCTATTTTTGAGTGCACAACCGCTTTGTAACACAATCAACGACAATATCTCAAAGACGTTGTTCTTGGTCAGCAAAATATTTCAACATAAAAACCAAAACTTATCATACATTTTTGTGTGAAATGTTTGCGTTTGTATTGGATTGTGTGCAAGAATGAAACTGAAAGAAGAGTCATGTGTTTACACAGAATTTAAGTAAAGTGTTTTCAAACTGATTGACTTGTTGCATATATGAAATCGGTCTCTTCAAACTTCTATTGTATATTATTTTGATCGGGTATACCTAAATTAAGTCTTTTTCATAAATTCATACAGAAAATACCCTTTTATGTGATATAAAAATTGATAAAAATGATGCGAATAAATTTGAATTTACCGCTGAAGCATTAAAATCAGATCGATAACAACTTGAAATTAAGGTGCAAATGAATATAAAACATGCAATGTGTAAGTATATGATTGATATATAAATCATAAAAATTAAAAATTATATTATTTTGTAATTAAAAAAGAAACTATCGATTGGTATTTAATAGTTCTTTAACGATGATTGGCATTGAACGTACGTAGAAAAAACGTTCAGTCAGCATTAACAAAGCGATAAACGCACACAATCTAACGCAATCGTTCAGCATGGAGAATGGCAGCTAAAAAGATTGAATGTGAACAAAAGAGACACACTGCTGTCAGCGAATATGCGATAAGTACACTTGTATGGAATACCTATCGTGCTATCGTTCGAAATCAAATTAACCGAACCATCAAACATACACCCATACACATGCATTTCGATCATGAAACACAAATACATCGATTTGCTTGATTTATTTTTTTGTCTCATTTTCAACAAATATTTTTCTTTAAAAATATGAAATGAATTATTGGTTACATTTCAAAAATCATTTTTTCTAATGCACTACAAAAATCTAAAATGACAAGCTTTGTAGCAATCGTATGTCTTTTCGGTCTAGAGTGACCAATATCTGTCTCGCTCTCGCACAATAGCAATACATATACTTGCAAGATTTTTCATTCATGGCGTCCATTTTATCGTTTTCAATGAGACAACCACAGTGGCAGTAACGACGGTGAAAAACTGTAATGTAGTTTAACGCATCAATGTGAAATGGGTTAGAAGAAGAAGTTTGTGTAACATTTATGTGTAGTGTTCATTTTAACTTTAAAAAAGCTATTCCCTTTGAAATAAGCGATATTTTTAGTAAATAAAGAATTTAATTGTCAATTTTGGGTCTGAAATTTTTTTCAAAAAAAAAGCAGAACAAGATTGGATTGTAAGCAATACATAGTGCAAAACTCAGCGAAAAAATTTCTTTATTCGAACGCTTGCCATATGCACGGAAAGCGAATAGTTCAATGCGACACACATTCTATACAGTCTCTATATGAAACATGAGTCAGGTAAAGAAAAGTCGATTTTTCACAATTGAATCGGTATTTTTACGGGAAAATTTTTACATTTTTAAAAAATTCAACATTTTTTCAATCGATCAACAGTTTTTTTACTCCTGGGTGTGGCCATTTTCTATTGAATTTTTACTATTGAATTTCGACAAAAACGTACGCATTTCATTCAATGTGCTCAAAAATTTGTGTATCACAATGCATGTTGTTTTGGTCTGATATCAAGATAATATTTGTTCTGTTTACCCCAAAGATTGGTGGTGGATTTTTTGGGTTTCCATCTAGTGTTCCATGCATTTTTTGACTGTAAATCGTACTTTGTACCTTGCCACGTAGAAAAAATGTGATTTTCTGCAAATTGATTGGGGACCCTTTTTCACAATTTTCAACCAAAACAAATGCCTTCAAAACAATCATTCGACGGTTAATTACCTCGATTTCAATGGTTTTAACGAAATTTTCTATATTTTTCACGTTTTTCCATCATTTCAAGTCGTCGATGATCACATTTTAAGGTTACGTAATCATCTTTTACGCAGTTAAATCGAAATTTTCATTGTGATTATCAAAAACTGAAATGAAAAGTTATAGTTGTTTTTGGCGCCTTTTTTGAATTTATACGGCCAATGACCTTTAAAAATCGATTGTTTACAAATATTTTCATGATTTTTGTCTATTTTTCGTCAATTTTTTCCCTTGAAATTCTGTAATAATTCCATTTTAAGCTCTTTGTTTGTGTTTTCATTGAAAAATCGATCAATTTTTGGTAGTTTTAAAGAGTTTGTGGTGATTTTTTCGGCTTTTTTCCCAATTTGATCATTTTATGAATGAATGCTTTATTTTCCAAGGCTCCACCATGTGAATTTGTTGAGTAAATGTGTAGATTCAAAGAACGTTTACTTGATAATCTATAGAAAATGGTAGTTTTACATGATTTTACACGGATTTATTGAATTGTTTACATTTTTAACGACAGGATCTTGAAGAAAGTTTCGAGTCCAATAGAGATGGCAGCAACAGTGACGGTTCTTCATCCGGTAGCGATAGGTAATTCAGTGAAATTGGATTTTCAAGTGGTGTTTTGTTGGTGGTTAATTGATGGTGTTTTTAATGGATTTTTGATGCCATTCATAGTGATTCTGATGGTTCGACATCATCGTCAAGCAGTGGCTCATCAAGCTCGTCAAATTCAAGCAATCCATCACGACAAAGTCGTCAGTCAAACGCAAATGCAAATGTACCGAACCCGATAGCCAATAATTCAAGTGGTGGATCATCACTAAATCAGTCAAAGAGTTCAACAAAACATTCATCGTCGGAAGAGTCGGGCACAGATGGTTCGCAATCAAGTTCAGATGATAGTTCCGACAATGAAAATGAACAACAAAATAATTCAAATGCGAGTAGTGCAAATGACACAAACGAGTCAGATAATGCAGAGAATGAAGGGAATCAAGAGGCGGATTCGAAAAGCAGTGACGATGATGATGAAAGTTATCAGGTTACAAAGCGAAATACAAGGCCTAGAAAAGCACCACAGCCACCAAAACGAACAGCAGCAAATAATCGACGAAGGAAAAAGTATGTGTTTTTTTGTGATGATTTAGAAATTGAATAGAATTGAATAAGATATATTTATTGATTTAAATTGTGCTGTTATGTATGATATCGTAGATGGGATGAAACATCCGATGAAGAAAGTGCTTCAATGGAGCCTAGCAATAGCGAGGACGAACAATATAGTGATCACAATCGTAGACCGCGTAGACAAGTAGCTGTTGCAACAAAGAAACAACAAGCCAAACGAAAAGCAGCCAGAAAGAAAAATTATTCGTCTGACAGTGACTCTGATGACGATCCGAAGAGGTGCGTGTGTTTTTTTTTTTTTTTTTTTTTTGAGTGGTTAACTATTGAAATGTGATGAAGAAGTAATAAGTGATTTATATAAATATGTTTGTATGACAAAATGATAGGTCTGCGACTCGTCGTGCGGCAGCTGCAGTTAGTTACAAAGAGGCTAGTGAAGATGAAAAGACCGATTCGGAAGACCTGATTGATGTGGACTATGATGAATCATCAGTATTAGCGACGCAAGAGGAATCGGATAAAAGCGAGACGATCGAACGAGTGATTCAACGACGAAAGGGAAAACGTGGAGATACAGGAAATAAGACAACAATCTATGCATCGGAGGAACAGAATGGTGTCGCATCAGATTCACAAGCCGATGTCAAAACAGTGTCATCATCAAAACAAAATGGTGAGATCGAGGAACAGTATTTAATCAAATGGAAGGGCTGGTCATACATTCATTGCACATGGGAATCTGAGGAAACGATACGCGAACAAAAAGTCAAAGGTATTAAAAAACTTGAAAATTATATAAAAAAAGAGCGTGACATTGAACATTGGCGAAAGTATGCCAATGTGGAGGACATTGATTACTACGAATGCCAGTTGGAACTGCAACAGGACTTGCTGAAATCGTACAACAATGTCGAACGAATTATAGCCGAATCACAAAAGCCGGATGGTGCATTAGACTATTTGTGCAAATGGGAAAGTTTACCATATTCCGAAGCAACATGGGAGGATTCAAGTCTTGTGCTGCGCCATTGGCCGGAAAAAATTCAAGATTTTAATCGACGTGAAGAATCAAATCAAACACCATCTCGACATAGTCGTGTCATTAAATATCGTCCAAAGTTTCAACAGCTAAAAAAGCAACCGGAATATATGGGCGAGGACAGAGGACTCAAGCTACGTGATTATCAAATGGACGGTTTGAATTGGTTAATATTAACATGGTGCAAAGAGAATTCTGTGATTTTAGCCGATGAAATGGGTCTAGGAAAGGTAATTATCACTCGTAATATGATACACGTATAAAACTTATGTTATATATAGGCTAATTTTGAATTTATCCATACACATTTCAGACAATTCAAACCATATGCTTTTTAAACTATCTATTTAAATCACAATCATTGCACGGACCATTTTTATGTGTTGTGCCGTTGAGTACGATGACCGCATGGCAACGTGAGTTTTGTATTTGGGCACCAGAAATGAATATAATCACATATTTGGGCGATGTTCAATCTCGTGAAATTATTCGGCAATATGAATGGTGCTTTGCCAGTACAAATCGACTGAAATTCAATGCAATTCTCACAACTTATGAAATTTTGCTAAAGGACAAAGCATTTTTGGGTTGTGTTAGCTGGGCCGCATTACTCGTTGATGAAGCGCATCGTTTGAAAAACGATGATTCGCTCTTGTATAAAGCATTGTATGAATTTGAAACGAACCATCGCCTTTTGATCACCGGCACACCGCTGCAAAATTCACTGAAAGAGTTATGGGCTCTGTTGCATTTCATTATGCCGACCAAATTCACTAGTTGGCAGGAATTTGAAGAAAAGCATGAAAATGCCGCCGAAAAGGGTTATACAGGGCTACACAAACAATTGGAGCCATACATATTGCGGCGTGTTAAAAAAGACGTAGAGAAGAGTCTTCCGGCTAAAGTGGAACAAATATTACGTGTAGAGATGACTTCAATACAAAAACAATACTATAAATGGATTCTAACGAAGAACTTTAATGCATTGCGAAAAGGATCAAAGGGTTCGTCGAGCACATTCTTAAATATTGTCATAGAATTAAAAAAATGCTGCAATCATGCGTCGCTAATTCGACAGAATGAACTGGAGCAGGCGTACCATCACGGCGATGCTCTTCAAATGCTTCTAAAAGGTTCCGGCAAACTTGTACTGCTCGATAAACTTCTGTGCCGTCTCAAAGAAACTGGACATCGTGTACTCGTATGTATTTCTCTTTTTTCATCATTTTCAAACTTATATCAAACATATCTCATTACTGAATGACATTTTTTTTAATAGATTTTCAGTCAAATGGTTCGTATGTTGGACATTTTGGCAGAGTATTTACAAAAAAGGCATTTCACATTTCAACGGCTGGATGGAAGCATCAAAGGAGAAATTCGAAAACAAGCATTGGATCACTTCAATGCTGAAGGTTCTCAGGACTTTTGCTTTTTATTGTCGACACGTGCCGGTGGCTTGGGTATTAATTTAGCCACAGCCGACACCGTTATTATATTTGATTCCGATTGGAATCCACAAAATGACCTACAAGCTCAGGCACGAGCACATCGTATCGGCCAAAAGAATCAAGTGAACATTTATCGATTAGTTACTGCCCGAAGTGTTGAAGAGGATATTGTTGAGCGTGCCAAGCAAAAAATGGTTCTTGACCATTTGGTTATTCAACGGATGGACACAACTGGTAGAACAGTTTTGGACAAAAATAGCTCGTCGACATCGACACCATTCAATAAAGAAGATTTATCGGCAATTTTAAAATTCGGCGCTGAGGAATTGTTCAAGGATGAAGCTGAAGGCGATGGAGACGATTTGATATGTGATATTGATGAGATTCTACGACGGGCAGAGACACGTGATGAAGCACCAACCATGGTTGGCGATGAACTCCTTTCTGCATTTAAGGTTGCTTCATTTGCTGCATTTGATGAAGACGCCGAAGAATCGGTTGTCAGTCCATCGACCAAATCTGCATACAATAAATTGAGCAAAGGAAACGATGCAATTAACGAAGGTTTGTATTTTCTGCTAGTATTCCATTTTCAAAATCTGATTCAATTCGAAACTATATTCGGTGCACCATAAACTGGCGCATAACATTTGTTCATACCATTAAGAATAATACTATTGAAATAGTTACAGGAGAGACGTCACAAGACTGGGATGAAATTATACCCGAGCATATTCGACGAAAAGTTGAAGAGGAAGAGCGTAACAAGGAAATGGAAGATTTATATTTGCCACCTCGAAATCGAAAAACCCTACAACAAATCAATCAGCAAGCAGACGGCGGCAACGAAAAACGTGGCAAAAAACGAAAGAAGCAAAAAAGTGACGATGATAGTGACAATGAAAGTGCAGCCGGCAGTGATGAAGATCGACCGAAGAAACGCGGACGACCATCACTAAAAGAGAAATTCTGTAATTTCACTGACGCTGAACTACGGAAATTTATCAAAAGTTATAAAAAGTTTCCGGTGCCATTGAAAAGGCTGGATGCAATTGCATTAGATGCTGAACTACAGGAAAAGCCATTAACCGATTTGAAAAAGATCGGAGAAATGTTACGTGATCGTTGTGTAAAATTCTTAGCTGAACACAAAGAACAACCGCAACCCGATAAAAAGGCAGCCAAAGCAGCTGCTGCCGAAGAGGATGGTGAGGGTGGAAAGAAGAAAGGTGTTCGTGCTGGATTCTCAATAAAATTTGGTGGCGTTTCGTTCAATGCAAAAACACTGATGGCGTGCGAAGAAGAACTGGCACCTTTGGACCAAGTAATACCCAGCGATGCAACAGAACGTTCAAAATGGATTTTCGATATTAAAACGCGACCGGCCAATTTTGATGTAGAATGGACCACCGAAGATGATTCAAGACTATTGCGGGGCATTTATCAATATGGTATTGGGTCATGGGAATCAATGAAAATGGATCCATCGTTGAATCTTTCTGAGAAAATTTTAGCCAATGACAGCAATAAGAAGCCACAAGGAAAACACTTACAATCACGTGCCGAATACTTACTCAAAATCATCCGAAAGAATTTGGAATTAACAAAGGGAATGAATAAGGGCAAAGGTAAAAAGCCACGCAAACCAAAAGAACCGAAACCGGCCAAATCCAAAGATATTATTGAAAACGAAAACATTTCATCGGCTGACGATGAGAAAAAGAAAAAAGAACATCATCATCATCATCATACACCGATTGTCGCTGCACATGAAAATAACAATTCGAATGATCGCACGGCATTAAATCAAAGCCAGCCACATAATCATCAAACTGCTCAAAATATACCCAATAGCCACGATGAAGTTAGCAATGGGTCTGCCACGAAAGAAACTGCCAAAAATTCAACAAAGAAAACAAAAGCTAATAAAGAACAAAAGAAAAATAAAACAAAAGTTGACGGTCCGATGCATTTCACTGCAAACAATGAGCCACGTGCTCTGGATGTGCTCGGCGGTTTGGATCCATCTGTTTTTAATGAATGTAAAGAGAAAATGCGACCCGTTAAGAAAGCGTTAAAGGCTCTCGACAACCCTGATCAAAGTCTCAGCAATGCCGATCAAGTGAGCCATACGAGGGAATGTCTAGTTCGAATTGGCAAACAAATTGAATTATGCCTGGCAGAGTACAAAGAACAAGATAAAATCAAAGAATGGCGAAGCAATTTGTGGCACTTTGTCTCAAAATTCACCGAATTTGATGCAAAGAAACTGTTTAAATTATACAGACATGCAGTGAAACGTGCCGAAGATGAAAGTGATGCAAAATCAACGACAACAACATCGCCCGCCAAAAATTCAAAAGATTTGGCAAAAGACTCAAAAAGCGGCCATGACCACAAAGATAAATCAAATCAAAGTTTGGACGAGAAACAACAGCGCAAAGAGAAGAAGCGAATGCAACGGGAAAAAGAGCGAAGGGAAAAGGAAGAACACAATCGCCATCGGCAAGATGATACGAACAACACTATGGATAATGGTTTGCATAAAGATGATTCAGGCAAACGAAGGCTTGAAGAAGGCGAACTGGTTGAAGACACCCCAACAAAATCATATAAAAGGCAACATCCAGACAACAGGTACATTTCCAAAAAAAAAAAAAATTTCGACGAATATTCACTAATGACAACAATTGATTTTATAGAAGTGGTCGTTCAGGCAAAGAAGAACGCAGCAGGTGGGATTCAAATGATCACGAGCATGGTCGTGTTCGGCACAATTCTGGATCGCATTCTCAACCAATAAATCCATCACATTTGCCGAACGCACAACGCGTGCCGCAGAATTACGACGGGCGAGATCGTTCAATGTATAATTCGGGTGATGCAGAGCGATGGCGTGACAATAGGTAAAAAAGCAAAAAAAAAATCCAACAAAGAATTAAACTAATGAAGTAACATTGTCCCAAAAGATATAACGATCATAAACGCTTTGATGCCTACAATCGCGGAACTCCACATGGTTACCATAGCAGAGATAACAGAGATCACCGTGACAGAGATCGTGACAGAGACCGAAGGGGCATTGACAATAAAAGGAGGTAAAATTGGAAATTTTTTATAAAGTTTTTAAAGTTGAAATTAAATCCAAATCGTTGAAATTGCAGATATCAGCAGCCACCAATGGGATACCCAAGTAATCATTACATATCTCACAATGCACCTTACTACCCTCCAGATGCCGCATCGATACCAGCGAACAGCAGTAATGCCGCACCCTATAGATATCCGCCCGGCAACAGCAGTAGCTCCGAATGGAGAAGTCGCGAACAAGAATTTGATAATTATCGACGTGAATATGATCGACGAGCTCCGCCACCACCATCGGGTACTTCATAACAAAACTCAAACTCCGATTGAAAAAAAATCGAAAGGATAAGAAACAATGCGGAAAAGAATCGGTCTCATGTGTGATGTTTAAATTTATCGACTAGATATTCCTTTCCTTTAACTTATTTGTTTAAGCTAATGAAATGATGTTCTCTTTGTAAACAGAGAGAAAACCGCAATTACATCAACAATCTTTAATCTTTTTTTATGTGAAAGAAACAACAACAAAAAAAAAAAAAAATTATAATAAAGATGAACGGGCAACTTTATTTTAATTATGATCAGCACAAAAAGATATGTTTTTGTATACACTTCGTGAATGAATGTATGCTTTTGTACAGAAATTCGTGTGCAACATTGATTGAAAAAAAAGTGAAATTTTTATTAATTATAAAAAAATTGATGGAGACTGTAGTTTTATTTTTACTTCAGCTGTGTAAACATGAACGACTTCTCGATAAACAATAAACTAAATAACGAATTCGAAAAAAAATTGAATATTGTCGCAATTAAGCAATCAAAATATATTTATTTAATGATGATAAAAATGAAATTTTAATCAATACTGCAAACGAAAACAAGAGACAACAAATTAAATCATCGGGAATAGTGGAAAAATTGAAAATGTTGGAAATTGTTTTGTGATGAAAATAAATGAAAGTAAATATAAAATTGAAAAGAAACGTCTGAAGATATGTCAAAAAAATGTCAAATAAATGATCATTTTGCTAACAGCTGAAAACATAAATTACTTGTTTTGATTTTGAAATGGTGAGCATGCTGTGACTACAACATCAACAGGGTAAATACTTACGAGAAAAGTAAATTGTTTGTGTCCAACCTTCAAAATAATAATCAATGAAACGACATATTTTCGGTATCCATATTAATTACTAATCATATAAATATTTTTTTTTATTTTTCTCCGTTTAATCTTAATTTTTATAATTTGGTTGTCACTTACTTTAAATATAATTTTCAAAGCATTTGTTTTGTGTTCTATCGCACGTGTGAAGTAAATTGTTAAAATTGATCAAGAATTTACTTGATTGGTGTGTGTGTGTGTGTTCTAAATGCGTGTTTGGCGCAAACACACAATACTGATTTTATTCTTTTTATTTTTCTCTTTAATTTTCCAATTTTTCCTCTTTGGTGGATAATGATTTTTATCTAAGAGTAGTGCGTTTGATGATGTGACAGTAAATGTATGTTTCATATTTTGCGTTGACTTGTATTTTGTGTTCGGCAACATGAAATGGTGATTAAGTCGTATAATTGCAGTGAATCGAATATTTATGGATCGGAAATGGTATAGAACTGATGACATTTTCAATTCCGTAGAATGAATGTGTGTAATGTGTGTGTGGCCATTGTAAACAGCCCCGCTTATAAGAATGGTGCTGATTTTGAAGAAGATATAATCTATCAAAAGATGTAATAATATTCCAATATATTTAATAATTTATCTTTATCATTTCGTTCAAAAATTGTATCCGGCTACAAACTCCAACATTAATAACTCTTTTTTTTTCAAACTAAATCATGTGGAAATATCCTAACATATTTACATAAAATCTATGTATAAAAAACTTATGTTTTTTTTTTGGTTTCATTTCAATACATTTTTTTTTAAACACAACCAATTTACGTTAATATTTCTGTTCCATTTTAAACATGATTATTTTGATTCGTCGTATATACTAATTAGGTTATTGATTAACTTCTTGTTCTTCTTAATTAATTTTTTTGAATTTTTTTTTTATAATTTGTTGTTTAACTTTGATGAATGTCTATGTCGCTGTATGCTGAAAACCAAGGAAAATGCTCAAAATCAACAGAAAACATGTTGTCAAACTAAGAAATTGGTGTGATAGTATATTAGGAAATTCAGCGAATTTTTTTTTACACTTATAATTGGGATTTTTTTTTCTCGATATGGGATGCTAAACGAAAACACATTGAACGCGTATCATTTACTATACAATGTTCACACACTGAAAACGAGTTGTTACGGTTAAACTTGTCTAGCTTTATTATATCTAACATAGATAAATTGCAATGCGTATGTACCTTTTTGGTTTTCATTTGATTAACCCTGTAATATTTTGGAAACAGAAAACACAATTACTAGTCGTTTATCTAACGTTTTTTTTTTGCAAATGAAATTTGGTGAATTTTTTGTTTTTCTTTTATCACCATCCGAAACCATGTGTTTATCATGGCATTGTTCATTGTTTAATTTGATCTTTGGCTTATAATTATAATTGGCCAATAATAGTATGTTTTTATGTTTTTTTTTTTTAAATCTTTTTCTCGTATTTTATTTGTTTCATTTCTTTCATAAATATTTTTTTTTTGGTTTGGGTAAATTTTTTAAATGAATTTGCAAAGCGAGGAACTTGAATTTGCTTGAAGAGGTGATAGCATCTGCTGTAATATCGTCTATTTATTTCACATAAATATTAATAAAATGAGACGATGAATCCAGAAGACGAACCACGTTCAAGCGCTCTCCTTTTTTGTTTATAACTATTTTATTATGTGGGAAATATCATTTAATTTCCTCGCTCTGTAAAATTGTAAAAAAATTAACAAAAATTTTGACACGTGATTCGATTAATAATTTTCAGTGTTTTTTTGTTTCATTAAAAGTTCAAAGGAAACCATCATAATACTTAATGAGTTTTTTTTTTCTTCTTTTTTTTCTAAATGTAATTTTATGTTCTGTACACGCGTTTTTTCAGTAGATTGAATATGGCATTAAAAAAGTTTGGACAAATAAAAAGGGAACACTCATACATCAATACGCTTACTATATTAGTTTTTTACGTGGATTTCAATTAAAATCTTACAAAAAATTATGAAAGCATCATTCTGAATTGTCGGGTAAAAAAGTCTTTACCAAGAGTTAAACAATAACCAATGTTGTCTTTTTTCATCTTTTCTCAGCTGCTTTGTTGTAAATTGCATGTGTTTCTAATTTGCAAGCATGAGACTCCGATAATAATGTATATGTGTATATTTAATTTTATTCATTTATTTTGCCGATATAGTTTAATGTGTAGCTGAATGTTTCGACATTTATTTTCGCAATAAGTTTCGCTATTGATTAAGTATCGTAGTTTTGAAAAAATGGTGTGTAAATTTTTATGTTCGAAAATCGCAATTGCTGTGGATCTTTGTGTGTCTGTGTAAACGATATCTGCGGTACGATACTACGTATTTACAAATAGTATGGAGTCCAACTCCACTTGACGTCTGGTACAAAAAGATGATGTTGGAAAGTTGAGAGAAAATTATTCTCTGCATGGTTTAATTGTCTTTATCTCGTTTGTAAGATTTGAACTTGATTCATTCGTGTGCAATAGTAATCGTTTTTTTTTACACTGAAAGCACTTGTTAAGTTAAATGGGCTGACCACCGCATTGAGAAACATTTCAAGGACACATTTATCAGGACTTGGCTCTATTTTTCTGGTTGAATATCATTTTTCTTTTATGAAAACTCAATAAAAATTAATGCTCAATAATCTACATTCTAAAAGATAGCTTAAAGTACTTGTATGTAATCGTTTTTGTTTTTATATTGAAGATGCCCTCATTTTATTAATAGTGATTTAATCATAACAATTTCATTTTTATTTTTTTACAATAAAAAGAACTTATTTCGAAAGATGAACAATGTATGTTTGTTTTTCAATCTACTAACCAAAAATATATGGTGCGTGTGAAAAGTTAATGATTAGCTTCAAATGCAAAATATTATTATTATTCTTTGGTCATGAAAATGTTAAAAATGTTGCAATGTCAAATCAATTTTTGAGTGACATAACAATGTTGTTTCGATGGACAGCGTTTTGGATGATTGTAGAAACGTGAATTAAACTGTTATGGTTCGAATTTAATGTGAAATGTAATAATATGCCAATTGACTGTAAAAGGTTAAGTTTGTTGTGTTTTATGATCATTTCACTCCTTTCAATCAATGATTTATTTGTATATTCGTGTGTTATTCATGCAACAAAGATTAAGTTTGAGCCGAACGCGAGCGATTTAGTTGTGTCTATCCATAAATGTGTTCCTTCTGGCTTGAAAAAAGCCAAACGATTTTCTCAATTTGGTGTCTATCAAATAGATTTCTCTCGTTTTAAATTCGTCGTTTTTCTTTCACTTGCCATCCATAATCATGTTTAATGAATTTTGTCACAATAATTTGTTCATCAAATAATTCACTACATTAAATTAGATTATTCTATTGTTGTCTTAATTCGTCTTGGTATGATGCTAATTTCAGTTGGTTTTTCTTTTGTGTGACTCGTATCTAAGGAAGAAACTTAATTTTCTTCTTCGTCTCTGAAAAGGTACGTACTCCAATAGACCAAATTGAACAGGGCGAATACAAGTGGAAACGTTATTCGTGATATAACGTCGATTCTTTTCGATCTAGAACATTGTCTATTATCAGTTTTTGTATTTTTTTTTTCGGGCAGATTCAGGAGGGAAACATTTTGATTTGCGTGAATGTAATATGGAGAGTGGAAGTGGTGTTTGTGTTTGTATGTGGATATGTAATTTTGTGTATTTGTGTGTGTGTGTGTGTGTTATATGTGTGGAAATCGAAAAAAAAGAAAGAATTTTGATTAGCTCTTTTGTGTTAGCGATATTTAGTTAGTTTCACAACATCAAGGCACGCAATTCATTTTCCAATCAAATTACAATTTTTTTTTATTTGGTTTCTCTTTGACAATTTGTTATATTGTCCAAAAAATACATAATTTTAACTAATCTGTTCATTCATAGGTCAAATACGATTTCAAACATTTCGCAATAGAGTTATTTATCGCGCATAAGTCAAGTGTAAAAATGTGCATTCATCGATAACTGGTCGTTCATTCTTTTTTTAATAATTATTGCGAAGGATAATTTATATAAATATATGTGACGCATCACAAGGATTGATCATTTTATGAGAAGAGATTGAATATAGTTATGAAATCAAGGAGGGGAAAAGCGCAACTATGCAAGTATTGTGTGAGGGTGTTAAACACATGAATGTTTAATAAATGCGCAATTCTTAATGGTGATTATCGAAAAGAAAATGTTTTTTTTTTAAATTTTGGACTAATTGGATCATCGAGTTATCTAGCACTTACTTATTTTTATTTTTTAAAAAATCAATCCTTATCGAAAGGAGGATGTAATGCATGTAATCTAGATGTTTTTCATTGCATCCACTTAACGATTTTTCGATGGAATTCTATGGAATGATTGCATATTTGTGTTTCTTCGTAGTAAGCATATGCACCTCACAGCTAACTACGTTGTGTTTTTTTTATATTCGTTCGAGAATAATCGAGATAGAGTAAATTCCTTTGTTTATAATGATGCACATTTTTACACTTTGCACATCAATTTGTTTTTACTTTGGAATAGATATTCAACAAACAACCAACAAAAAATAGGTACGTATTCAATTAAATTTGCATTCATTTGAATTAAATTCGAGTTTTCATCGAGGGTTATTTCAAATCGTATACGCAAAACGAACGCACAAATAAGATTCAATCCAATATAATGTTCAATCGCAAACAAATTTTACAATATCGATATGAAACTAGCTCAAAGCCAAGCCACAAGAGCTCTGGAAAAGAAACTAGTTCTTACATAAGATACGACACGACCGATTGACTATCTCATTAGAATTCAAATCAATCTCACATAGTCAATAGATCGCATCGATGTGAATAAAAACAAAATCAAATGAACGAAAGATACAAAACGAATGCTTAAACGAAAAATAGGCTTTCAATAAAGGAACGAAAAGAAGAAGGAAACGTGTCAATTACTAAATATAAAAAGAAATAGTTAATCCAGGTCTGAATCAATGTTTACTCAAAATTCGTGTAAAATTGTATATATTTATTGAGAGAGAGAGAGAGAGAGAGAGAGATGCAAATATGAGCATGAACGATTTCAAATATTAAAAGTAAATAGCATATAATATACAGAAATATATAGACAGAAAATATGTAGTGTGGAGGAAAAAATGCAAACAAAACCAATGAAATGCGTTTTTCATTCAATAGAGTGTTGTTGTTGTTTTTTTTTTTTTTAATTTGGAAATTACCTTGTTGGAAATTTCGATAGCCATGTTCGGCAACAGTTTGGCCTTTTTTGTGGTGCCATGTGCACCTCACATTGACGCAATTTTTCTAAGGCCAAAGGATCGCCCGGATGCCGTACCAACGGTTTCTAATAATAACACATTTTTCGTGGAAATATTAATTAACTGATTCGCCGAAATATATTTGAAATGCGTATTAATATGAAATTACCATGGCAAATGTTGCATTGCTATCGGTATCTAACAAATCAGAAGCAGCATCCATGCTAGCCTGTTCCATATCGCGTCTTTTTTTCTTTATGCTTTCACGATGCATATCTGCAGCACGATCTTGTGCAAAAAAGCAATACAATTTAGTTTAAATTCTTTAGAGATAATGGGGACAATAAATACCAGAGCGAGAAGCATAGTTGACCAAAGCGAATTCGAGCAGTGCGCCAAATACGAAAGTCAGACACACGCCTGTCCAAACATCAATGGCCTTTGTGTAAGAGACGGGTGGCAACGATGCATTTATACCCGATGTCTGTGTGGCCATTGTCAGGAGTGTAGTTACACCTGAAATAAAGCATTCGATTGATTTATTAAATTGTTTCAAAAATATTCATACTAAGAATTCATACTAACCCAATGAAACACGGGCAGGAACAGCTCCCTAGTTGAAAAATAACACATAACATTTTGCATGAATAAAATTTTAGAAAAATTAATCGAAATAAGAACTTACTTGATCAAGCCAAAATGACACCTAAACACCGAAAGAATGGGATACAATTGACAATATTAGCTTTTAAATGAGGCAAAAAAAGGATGTTATTTGTACATACCCATGATACGATAACCAACATGCAGCATGGAATGTAGATTTGAATCAAGTAGTATGAGAATTCACGTTTGAACAAGAGATCTACCTTCAAGCAACTGTATTCGCCTAGAAAATTCGAAAATGTTGTCTCATATAAAACAAGAATCTTTAAAATCTATAAGAATATGTACCCGTATTGGTTTTGCTGTTACAGTAATCTGTTAAGAATTTTTCTAATGTAAATCGTGGTAGGTGTAAGTTTTTCACCACTTGTACCGGATCGCCTTCTTTCCACAAAAACACCAAGTCAGCTGTGGTCCACCCATCTGAAGGTTAAATCGCAATTTAAATGTTAACTTTTAAAATGATTACGAAACAGAAATGGTTGACTTCACTTACAGCTGGCCATTCTAAGTGAACACACTTGTCGATCGAGTGGATACAATTTCAAATTCATTGGACATGCCAATGTTAACGATATTCGTATACTATATAGTACAGAACCATTTGGGAAGATTCGAATATAAACATTTGGCATAATGATATTATGGAAATGTCCTTCTTTTTCGTTTGAGAAGAACAAATCAGGCATCCAAACACGATTAGCTTCGGTCAATGTTAAATATTTCAAACGACCTGAAACCCAATTTATAACATTTAACATCATTCGAATTTCGAAAATTATACTATAACTATTTGATGTTACCTGCAAAATCATCGAACTTAAGCCGTTCATCTAACCATTGCTCACGGAATGTTAATTGCACGCTGTATTCCTATTGTGGATGAACGCATTCATCGCATTATTTTTAATAAAAATTAAGAGCATTAGCGTAATCCATTCCAACGAACTTTGTAATAATTAAAATGTGTTTTTTTTAAATCTTGTGATCGTGTTAATGCATCACATGCCAAAACAAATTACGTATCTAGCGAACAATACTCAATATTCGCAACAAAAATCAATTTACTGCCATCGTTTGTGCGATGGAATTGGATGGTTTTATTCCCATTAACTTATTGACATGTTGCATGTATCACCACAATCACAGTATTAAACCGCAAAATATATATTGTTTTTCCTATTCTATATATTGTATATGTGTGTTTACTGTTTATATGCTTTCTATTAAAATCAGTATTTTTTTTTTGTAAAATCTGAACGCTTTCCATAAACAAATTTAGAATTAAATAACTGTACATCGTAACATAAATAAAATTTTAATGAAAAATATAACATATTCATTTCGAAATTGTATCGGGAACTGTTATTTAGCAAAATTTTGAAGCGGCTGTAGCCGGCCCAACAAAAAAAAACAGAAGCCTTTTTCATTGAAGTGTTGCAAATATTTTATGTACAAAAATTCCTACAATGAATTGCATTTAATAAAATGAACTCACAAACTAAAGGAAATTTTATGAACTGAATTTAGCAATTTTTCCGATAGGTGGGAGATTTCAATATTTTCCATGCAAAACTAAACAATAGACGTCATCAGCATACATCGCAAGCAAAACATTAACAAAAGCATTCCAAAAACATGCCAGAATCACATGCAGATAATTTCGATACTAATACACAGTCGCCGAATGATTTTCATCGAACATCGACTCTGAGAGAGCGAATTTCAGGCACCAACGGGCTTCAGGTAAAAACATATCCAATGAAAATCGCTACAATACACATCATGCATTGATAACGCATAAATTATTTATTTAAAGGTTTGATCTAAATATCAAAATCTAGGAACGGTTTGCTATCATTTCATCAAGAGGATGAAATCGTTGGGAATTTTAAAAATTTTCAATGAATCATAATCTATTTTTGGTCGATGGTCAAAAAATTCCACCACCCTTCGACAGAACTTTTGCTTTCGATCTATATAGTACTTTTCATTTGATTTGGTTTTGGTCAATTGCTGAAAATTCGGATCATTTTCGAATTCGGCATCCAATTGGGTTTTAAAAACAAATTTTATCAAATTGGAAAACGAAATAGAAAAACATCGGATTGATTAATTAAAAAAAATGTGTTGAGCGATCTTTTTGTTTCTCATTTTTCACTATTTTCGGTTCTCGTGGGACAACAATAAAAGCATACATTTCACTATTTTTCATATAGCGTTTATTTGTGTGTTGGTGTGTTTGTGTTCTCGTGCTTTGTCTCTTTTACCTTTTCGATGCAGTAGCACGCATGAATTACGTTTATTTATAAAGAAAATTGAAAAAGTTTTACTGAGACTGAAAAGTATACTTAAAATGTGGTGTAAATGTTATAATAAAATGATGACACATAAAAGGAGAAAACGATTGACGATAGTTACACCAAAATAAGTTCAATATTTTACTTTATATTGACACACAGCGGGCAATTTAATCTAAAATGGAAATAATTCTTCTTTTTTTTTGCTCACAAATTTGCCGAATCGAATCTATGTTTAAAAGAAACAATGAAAATGATTTAAGTTTAAGGTGCTAATATGAATGAATGTGACGTATATGAAATTACAATTTAACTTATTATTATTATTTATTTGTTTTACGAGAAAAAATACAACTATGCATCAGTGAATGACTGTATATTTTTGCGTTCCATTTATCTTTTAAATAGCTTGACATCTCCAATTTATGTCTTGATTTTATGACTGATTTAACAACGAATTTTTGGTTCCACATAAAAGACACCAAATTCATACGATTGACATTGGTTATTTGATAAAAATAAAAATGGTAAGAAATCCCAGTGAAAAGCGATAAGAATATTGTTGTTAAATTTGTGTTTAACTTTGCGAATCTGGTATTTCGAAAAAACTGCAAACCATATACAGAACAAAAGACATATCGAGAAGTTATTTACATGAGGTTGAATTTTGGATATATCGGTTGATCACGCCAAACTTATGGACGGACTGAAAAGAAAATGTACATATAAAAAATCGGAGGCCAACATAAAAATACACAAAAAATATGGACTTATGAAGTAATGCAAGAGGAAGCAGCACACAAAAACATACACGCACGATATAGAAATGATGAAAGATATAAATTAAAATGAATGTAATTTTTCAATTAATTTTCGAAAAAAAATATTGACAATCACACGCTCGTGTTAAAATGAAATCTGGATCTAAGAATAAAATATGAGCTCAGTTGAAAGTAGAAAAACATTGATATTTTCAGAAAAACTGAAGTGTTTAAAAAAAACTCACACTTGTGCTTTCGATAAATGTGTCATGAAAAGAAAGCAGAATTGGAGTGTGTTTGTGAAGTATTAAGCTTTTCGGAAGAAAAAAAAATGTGAACGCAAAGTCGACATTTTTTTTCATGTCGATCTCTTTAAAAGTCAATCAAATGTGAAAATGTTCTAAAAATATCACGAACATGTGAAGATAAATAAAATGTTTGACAGTGGAAAAAAGCGAAAAGAAAATGTGAAAAAAAACCGATGGCAAACTTATATAAAAGAAAAAGGTGCTATAAAAAAAGTTGAACAAACTTGAGTGAGGAAAATCACGTAAATAAACAAAGGTGAAGAATAAAAATAAAATCACGTTCATTGCGATGAAGATAGAAAATTATGTGAGACAGTGAAAGAAAGAAACACCAAGTTCGGGATTTAGCTGGAATCTGTTTTCCTGTTCGAATCAGTGCTTTCTCGTTATATAGACAATTTTTTTTTATATTTTCACGCATCTTGGTTACAAAATTGGACATTGAACGGTTAAATCAGCGTTTATAATTTGCCGTACCTGTTATATACGGGCAAATGCCACTCACCATTTTATAATCGTCGATTTTCGAAATGGAACGAACTAATAGATTGACAAAAACTCGGGTTGCGCTATCCACTAATCACATAAAAAATATTCAAAGGAATATGGATTTTTTTTTTTTTTTTTTTTCGAATAAATTTTGAGCCAAAGTTTTGTTCGGAATGGTGGATTTTTCAAGCATTTCAGAGTTGGAATGAACCGTGGGAAAAAAGGAAGAGAAAAGAATAATAAAAAGATGAAATATGAGAATGAATTAACAACAATTTGTTTTAAAGTGAAGTTAATGGATCGAAACAAAAATAAATTGTGCATATTATGTTGATGTTGATTTAAAACAATCGACATATAATTAATACCACATAAACATCACTCATCTGAAAAATAAATGTTACATACAAAAATTATTCTCAAAATAAAATTTAAACGTCCGTTGGCGCTTCTCAATTAAAATGAAATATCTATAAATCAAAGGGCACTTCTTATCTTTCACCAAATGCCCGTTTCAAATTCATATAGTTTCTCTGTTTTTTTTTTAATTTCAAACCCAATGCACCACACAAAGTCATAGAATTATTATACGTTATTCGAGAACATTTTTAAATAAACGAAAATGAGAGATCTACGGCAACGACTTTACTGACATTCGAAAACATATATGACTCCTATATTAACGAAATAGTTATTTGTTTACGAAATTATCAAAAATTATTCATATGTTCAATAAATTCGAGTCCTAATGAATGAATGAACGAACGAATGAATAATTAATACAAATATCAAATGGAAAATCATGGTGTTGTTAAAATGAAAATCAATGCTACAAGTTATTTAACCGGTGCGAGACAACTGTTACAGAAGCGAATAGAAAAAATACAGAGAAAAAGATACATACAGTGACACAAAGACAGAGAGAAGAAGTAGATGGACAGCGAGACAGAGAAATACAACAAAGAAATGCATCGTTCATCGGAAGTGGAATAATGCATTGCTTCCATTTGTTCAACATCCGTGGAGACGCGGAAAATCAAATAGGAAATGATATAAACCCTTTTTTATTCTTATAGTTAAATATAAAAGTAAAATGGCAAAAACCCAGAATACAAAAACAGATTGTCTATCAAACAATATTTCAAAAGATCCGTTTTCTGTAATAATCTCGTACTTTTTGTGTTCATAACTTATAAATTTCTTAGACATGAAATTTCTGAACGAATAAACAAATAAAACTCAATAAAAATTCTAAGAAAATGCCGAAGCGTATGATAATGAAGAATCAATTAAAAACCTCAAAAACATATTTTTAAAACATTCAATTCAGAAATTAACAGAAGATATAAATAGTCATTTAACTTTAATGTTTGGTTTGAGGCTGTCAAATCATCCAAATAAATTTGATGTCTTGCAAAAATTTGGACGATTTTTTTTAGAATTTTTCGTTTTTCTCACTATTTCTCTTATAAGAGGGTAATGGAGATGAAAATGATGAACATTCAGATACAATCACTATACAATAAATGGTCCATCGGAGTACTTTCAGTTTTACGTTAAAAAATATGACAATTTACGGCACTAGCACCAAATTCAGTACAACTGATAACTGATGAATATTACCAATAATAAAATAATGAACTGTGATCTCCGATAGAGCCATTGGCTAGTATTTAATTCTTAAGTGATTTCGCAACAAAATATACTCTAAATTCAAAAAAAAATAAAAAGCATGTTATGAGATGAATTACAAAAGTTTGAGCAACCAAAAGCTTAAAAAATATATAAATCGAAAAATTATTCGGAGCTTATCGAACGTTTTGATTTTTTTAGGTATGCAAAAATACAAAGGCTTTTATTGCGAGGAAAACGTTTACATTACAGATATCAGATTGTAAGAACGAAATTCGTTAAGTTCACGCACTGATTTTCTTCTACACTTCAATAAAGCACAAGTGGACACAACGATTACTTCCAAACACAAAAAAAAATAACGTCATTGCAAACCTAGTCAAAAATCGCAAAAACCAATTCTAAATGAAAAAGAAAACAAAAACGATTGGGAGTTTCGAGTACTGAAGTATAGAAACCATACATACAAAAGACAATTTCTAATTACTTTTTTACTTCGTAGGAAATAACCAAATCCAAACAATCTACGTTCATTTAAATCTTCTGTTTTTTTTTTTTAATTTGCAGTTATCTTTTCGTTTTTTAAGTTCCTTTTACGTACATTAAAAAAAAACACAAAATCAAATTTGATCTAGAAAATAAAAAATCCCGTAAAAAGTGAAAAAATATAAATTTAAAAAACTGTTTTCAAATTGAATCTTTGGTGTTCGAAACAAAATATGAATTCAATCCCGTTAATAACCCTTTCGACTGGATGTGTGATCTGATATCATACACCTACATTCTTCTACTGAAATGTAAAATTGATGTGTATCCTAAAAATAATGTGTGTATTCTCCTGTCATAAAACCGTGTAATTGTTTTGTTTCATGTTTTCCTTTAATTTATATAGGTTTTTTGCGGCTATTATTTTTTACTTTTTTTCGACGGAGACAAGTCACAGATACATTTACACTGTGGCTGTGAGAGCAAATGTCGCACACTTACCATGGTAACATCGTCAATTTTCGATATACTTCTAACAAAAATGTTGACACGAACCACAGCCGGCCCATCTATTGTTTTATTGATTTTATTTTTGTGTTCGTATTCATTCATTCATTTGCGATTTTATTGTGTTTTGTCGAAGCACGTGTACAACAAAAAAAAAATTCGCGTTGAATTCACAAAACAAGTAGAAGCCAATTCATCAAATCAGGGTTTGGGCAGTCGTTGTTACATTTACATATTTTTGTACAGTTTATTTTTTGTTTTTGTTTTGTCAAAACGATTTCACAAATGCCAGAAATAAGACAGAAAGACAAAAAGGGAGAGAGAAAATTGAAATGTTTGCTTTTATTGTTTTCTTGTTCAAATAAAAAGAATGATTTTTTTCATTTTTTGTTAAGAAAAGAAAAATACCAAAATTAAAATAGAAGAATTTTTCTGATTTTTTGATCGTTGTTTTCTGATTTTTGCGTTTTCATTCTCCTGATGCTGTTTTTTTTTCTTCTTCCGATGACTTTTATATATACTTTATATACACACTAAATGTAACTGGGTTTGACACGGTTGATGGAAATGGTATTTATTGGGATTTAAAATTAATAAATAAACCAAATGTGAAAAACGACTTGTAATCCAATAACTAAAGGGAATATTGTGTGAAAGTCAAGCTGTTTATTGGCCACAAAGTTTATTGTGTTAACAAAGTAGCAGTTTCAGAATGTTTATGTCAATCACGTTGATGTCATAAATCAACATTGTTTACTTTTTCGTTTGTTTGCAATCTTTATTACCACTAAAAGCATAAGTCTGTCAATTTAATGAAGTGAGCTTACGTTGCATCTGGATAAAATCCGAAAATTAAATTTTTTAATACTTTCAATATACAGCTATTTGGGTAATGTTGATATATTCACAGAAGCAGCTACATCATAGCCAGGTCTTCAGTTTGAAATGTACACTTTAAAATTCATACCATAAGAACCGTCCTTCATGTACATGAATTGTAAATGCTGTTTTGGATATTTTAGATTGCCAATTACTACCATGTATTAGCCACATGTTGGTGCTTTGCATAACAACAATCACATCGAGCGGTACAACAGCCGTTTGGTAACTTTCTTTCCATAGGTGTTGCTATGTGAATGAAATTCAGCAACAACATTTATTTTTAGATACTGTTACAAAATGTTAAATTCAAGTAAAGCCAATAATATTTTCTGCATTACCGCTACAGGATGATTAGAATCCATTTGAAAATAAGTTTAATCAATATTCAAATGAAATTGGATATTCTTTAAATAGCTTGATCATCAATTACTCTGTGACAGATTGGTAATTTTCTATAAAATCCATGTGGTTTGGAATTGTTATTTTGGTGAAGCATAAAGGTACATTTGTACTCTGATATCCGCTTTAAATCTTAATCCCAAGGATTTATCCGTGAACCAACAGAAATTAAATGAAAAATTCCATCCGATGACATTTTGCGACATGAACACGGTTTGATGTGACATAAACAAATGCGAACGTGTTGTTTATATTGTGTATGCATTAAAGTTTATGTAATGTTTGAAAACATTTTCATTCTTTGGCAAATCTTGACGATTAGAAGAAAAAGGCTTTTGGCACGAAACATTCAGGCCATGAAATTAAGCTCAGGCACTAAGTACCAAACACTAATCGATACGAAATTTGCATAAAGAACAACAATTTTACTAGTAGCTACGTGATTTGATAATTAATTTATTCCTGTTTCGACTACATCTGTTTTGGGTTGTTTTTGCCACAGGTAAAACTAAGATAGAGATAGATAAACATAAGATTCTATTTTTAGATTTATAGCGAGACACTTTCGAAAGTTTGTCCAGTAAATACATAAATATGTTCGATTCAAAGCTCACGAAGTTTTAAACATTCTTGCATATTCTGTATGCAGTTAACTATTATACGTTATAACTAGTAAAGACATCGGTTCTGTTTCTCAAACTTTTGTTAATTGGTAACATCAGTTTGTGGGAAGAAAAATGTTGCTTTCTACCAATCACACGCATAATTATTTATATGTTACTGAATGAAACCGAACTGACTGACTTAATTAAAAGAATATTTTCATTTAATTAAAGTGTGATGGCATTGCTGACGAGAATTGTGTGCGTCCATTACCAACGCAAATGAAATGTTATTCGCTCAGTTAAATTTTTCACCGTGATGAAATTTGTGCGAAGCAGACGTGATCTCGTTTGGGAATGCTTGTAACGAGCCTGTAGATACATAGTTTGTATTAATATGTAACGTATTATGCATGGTTTTAATTTAATGTGCTTTTTGTGTAAAGCCCATCTCGTTTGCGTATGTTACCTCGTTAATATTCAGGTGGAAGAGAAGACAAGCAAACAATAATTAATTTACTAAATGATGTGCAAAATACATCTGTATATCTTTAAATCTTGAATCAATCGCATTTTAATGTCACACGGTAATTTCATAGAGAGCATAAATTTAGCAAGGATGCCAGTGTATCGAATACTGTTTGCCAAATAGTATTGAATCAAGTTAAGTAAAATGCTACACATGGCGACACCGAATGATACAGCTTGAAATGGAACAATAATCTAGATCAGCCTGATACGTTTTCTTATTCTGTTTTGTATTGTGTGTGCATTTCAAATATTACTACGTGACGCAGCATAAATTTAGCGAGAAAATAAACGAAAAACAGCAAACTGATAGAATCGTTGTGATATGACAATATCGAGTGTATTTGCACGCTATTCTACGCTTCCCAAGAAGCGACAATATAGTTTACTGTGTATACACGATTGGAATCAGTAACACACATGTAATCTATGAGCTGCTCAAAATTAAAAATTTCGCGAAAGAATGAATGAGTTTTGACGATTTAAACGTGCTCGATCTTTCCATTGGTTCGATGAAATTCTTTGTCATTTTGAGAGGGTGGCAACGGTTGAGTGGTAAGCTTAAATTCACGACATATGTACGCAATGATAATATTTATCGAATTCAATTTACAGAATTTTTATATTTCGTACGCTACATTTTGGGTGTTGCCTTCCAGTGAATACCGCTTTTCACATGACGGCACAATAAAAAGATGCCAAGAAAAGGCTTGGATGAAAATTAAAGCGCATTCAATATATGCAAAAATAGTATAGTCAATTGTCATTGCATTTAATATCATTTGAATATCCATTCTGAGTTCTTATTTTCATATGAATTGCGCTCTGTTCGCACAAAAGATCAAAAATATTGTAAATCCTCATTTGAATATAATAATCCATTTACCGTCATCGCATCCAGTATGAATGATAAAAAATAAATTTACATTGTTATATGTGCTATAAATAGCAACTAAAATTAGTAATATTAATTTGATATGAAGATATGGAACCGCTCAATGAATGAATGTGAAAATTCGGCACGACTTTTATCTGCAATAAATTTAGCACGATTTTCATTTTATAGCTTCGAATACCAGATGTTGCTTGTTTCATCAATTGGAAAAGGCAACCGCATAGCAAAAATGAAGAGTTTTTATTCTAATTGCAAAAATAGAGCAAATGTTATGTCAGTTTTTTTTTCAAAGTTACATGATATTTTTGCTCGTTCGACAAGTATTATCAGTTTACGCTTCGATTTTCTTGAAAAAAGTCGGTATTTTTCCACAACTCAATGGATATGCATGTAATTGTAAATAGAAATATTATGGTATGCTTTGTGTGATGTTTGTATTGAACGATGGATACACGAACGTATGTCGTTTTTCCATTTTAAAATGGGAAAATGTATTGGCCTATATTGGTTTTATGACTGTTGGGGTTGTCAGGCATTCGACTGAGAGCATTGCAGAAATTGGATGACATTGTGACGAAACCAGTGACGTCATTGCCAATTCATCAATTTCCCTTGACATATTGTTTTCACCAATAAATTCATTTCGAGACATTTTGATGGGTCTCTGATTTACGACAAAATTCGATTCACTTTGATTGCAACCCATTGATGACAAAAGCGAACTTATGACATTAAATTATTACCTGACTCCAAATTGAAACAGAACTAAACACTGTTAACGAAACTAATTATCTGGTAAATTAGTGTTTGACAAAATTCTATTTACCCAACTTGAAATTTCATTACGATTAATTTTTTTTCAACTAATAAAGGTCATAATTCAATGAAAATGGTCGCTTTAATGGCGCATATGACCATACAAAACGCATCGAAAGTCGATGAAGCGGAAAGAGTTTTTCAAAGCAACACTAAAGGCCATGATTGCAATATTTTGTCAACAACCAAAGCCAGACACACAACGGTTGAGCCACACCAAAAGCAAATATGACAGGAAACGGATATTAATCAAAATGCCAACAAAACGGCATCATAAATTTTTCATTCAGTCAATAAAATGACCACTTTTTCATGGGGGCTTGTGAGTGTGTTTGTGTCAGCGTCGAAATGTATGTACTCTGTGAACCAGTAACGTTTGCAGCGATGTCACATGTATTTTGGCTCTAATTTCATCTTTTAATTAATGTGCTCGATGGCATTTAAATTTCGAGAAAAAATTGTATGAACTCTGAAATTCAGCTCTAGTTTTAAGACTGTTTTTCAAGAGTTTTCTTTTACGTAAATTGACGTTCGTTCAAATGACGAATTATACTGAAATATCTCATTGTTGCGTTGCAATTTAATCTTTTTGTTTTGGAAACTCGACTTTAAAAACAATACATAAAAATGTTTACAATTATGCTACAGTGCTCTCATCTATAGTTTTATGAATTCGTTCATACCAAACAATTTTTCTGGAATCATTTGGAACTCGAACGAAAATTTAATAACAACAGAAAATAATTAAGGCCACTTTACAATTCACCACTTCATTTCCGGTGAAAAATAAGCGAATTCAAACTAATATGTTTCGCATAAAAACAGAGCTTGTTTAATTTTTGTTCGTTAGCATTTACTGACATTTATCATTTAATTGCATTTAATGTCCGTGCAGTCGTAATTAAATAATAACTTTGAATCAATTTTGCAAAATGTCATGTTTCACGCATATACATGTTACGTTGGTAACTGGGTATATTTTCATAGCTTTCGGCAATTGTGATGACAAACAATAAAAAAAGTCAGGTGCTTTGATTCACGGTTATTTTTCGAATAGAATTTGATATGAAAACTTCTTGAAAGTAAAGGTTTCGGTTTTCAGTGGAGTTGACAGAAAAAAAAGAATTCAAAATCAAATGGATGAAGGAGTAAAGGTCACGGTTTTACAGAAAAAAAATAACAAAAAAAGTTCGGCAAAATCAAATGCTATTCTCTATAATCTATTTCAAAAGTAGGCGTAAAAGTTTCATGTATACCATTTTTTTGTGATTTTTGAACACAGCATACGATGATAGATTTTTTATTATATGTGTGTATATGTTAGCATCTAATTGCAAACATTAACGCATATTTAGCCGGCCCACTTACCATCTTAATATCGCTAATTGTTGCAATACTTCTAACAAACAAATTTATTCGAACAATGGCCGGACCTAAATAATTGCGTAACCCAAGGTAAAATCAATTTGTATTTAACACGATTCAAGGAAAGAGAATATATAGTAGATCCTTTAGAGAGGAGCACAAATATCTTGCCCACTATTCAGATCAACAAGATTAACGTTTTTTATAGTTTTCGTTGGGAGAAATGATTCAATATGGGGGATGTATTGAAATTAAATAAGAATTTAACAGCATTTTAAATAAGTTAACACTCCCCCATCAGCCAATCAGAATCAATTTAGACATTTTGTTTTACAAATATCCGGTCCAATTGCCCACGTAATTTTGAATAATTGTGTTTTTGAATTGCTTACATTTTGATAAATTCGCTGTATATTCATTTTTTGACTTTCGACGTAAATAAAAAGCGAAAATCAAGTAAAATAAAATTGAATGTTGTGGAATACGCCAACTTACCGGTTCCATTAATCCCCGATGGGCGAATACGTGCATCATATTTTCCTTGTCCTAAAATTTGATCCAACACCTTTTTCTCTTTCTCTCGGAAATTTATTTTTGCATTGTTCGCTCTGAAAACAGATTTACAATGGAATATAAGAAAATAATGGCGACGAAAAAAAAGAAACACGCAATACAAACAAAAAATGCAACTCATAAAAGAGACATTGAAACAATCAAACTGGATTTTACTTACAGCGATGCACTGCATAAGCATGCCAGTAGGAAAAGCCACAGGCAGTGTAGTGTTCTCGTTTTCGACTTGGACATCTTCATTCAATGATGCTGTGCTGCCTTTCAGTTGTGACACACTAAGGAATTGCGTTTGCAACTGAAAGAAGGTGAATTCTCTTGAAGATTTAATCGATCCGTCTTGGATTGTGAGCTAGTGCACAGTCAACAATCCTTAAAAAATCTTTTGCTATAGCGTTAATTCAAACTGATCTGAAAAATCTGTAAAAAAGTCAAACTGATAACCAATTTTTTCTTAACGATTTTATCACTTATGTCATTGAACCATTCTTCAGTCTCATTCTTGTAAAGCAACTGAACTCTTTTCTGTGTTTTTATAGAATTGATACGGATTAATTTCATTATTTGCGAAAATAATGGAGTGTTTTCGAATTTTTGAAAAGATTTTCTCTTGTTTGATGTACTGTTTTTTGTTGAGCGTGCATGTGTGTGTGTGTGGATATAAAACATCGTATCGGCGTCACGGAAATTCAGTGAAAAACTTTTTTCAATAAAACTTGAAAGTCATAAAATTCACATAAACTCTATTCTACAATGTTCGAAACAGAAATACTTCAGTCTGTAACTCTTGGGAATATTTGCTATTAGTTGGAAGGGGTTTATTCCTTTATGTCTCACGAGAAGCAAGAAAAATAACACTCAAGTTAGGAAGTTTCTTTTTTCATTGCTAAATACAATAAAAGAATACCAAAATTTGGTTTTTCAAATTCGCTTCAGTTATTAACTAAGTTAATAGAAATTGTAGGGAAAAAGCAATTTCTTCAGTAAAATTATTGAAACATTTTTTTTTCTATCAAAAACCATCACATTCAATTAAGTTCCACTTTTTGAATCACACATTTTCAATTTTCATACAAAATGGGGGCCGTGTTCGCATCGTATTTGCTACATTATTCGTGAAAATTCAAGTGAAAAGAAATAACAAAAGTACTTTTAAAACAGTAAATGTCATTAAAACGTTATTGCTATATCGACACCAAATTAAGAAAAGAACCTCACTTAATTCAAATCCGTCGAAATATTGGCACAGATGATGGCAATTGTGTAGACGACGACATCTTTCCCAAACGAAGTGTATGTAAAGTTGTTCACCCAATGAAAACACACGCGAAACGGTGGATTGTGCAAATGATAATGGACCTTTCGTTTTATTTTAGCTCGGATATATCAGTTCAAGTTGTTGTTCAAGTGCTTTGTACACGTATTCAAATACACATACACACATAAAAACACATCTACAAATACATACGCGAATGAACGCAAGAGCGGATAATCAGTGCATGTGTGTTGTGTTGTCTGTAACGTGGAAAAAGCTTCGGCTATCGCTCTTTCTCTCAGCTAGTTGACGCGCGTGCTCTTAAATCTCGTCCAATATTGAACCGAAAGCTTCTCTTTTCACAGCATCCACAGACACAGCCGTTTTGTACACCGATTTACCATGGAAAAATGAACGAAATGTCGAACAAACTTTTTTTTTCACTTCATTCGTCTTATCTAAATCGAAATTTTTCTTCTCGTATACGATGAAAATTTCTCCCTTTTTTCAATAACTAAACCCGTTTTTACATAATGCAGTAACTTAACATTTTGCTACGTTTTTTTTTATTGCGCAAATCTAATTAAATGAAATATTTTGCTGGTTTGTTCACAAATGTATCACCGTCTGGTCATTGTGATAGTCAATTTCGACGTTTTTTTCAACATCACAAATACACAAACAACTTCAGCTTTGCCATTTAATTTTTTTTTCAACTTTGATGGTGCTTTTCGACGAGTTTTGCTGATTTTGATTGATTCCAACGACAATATCGATTCGATGGTGTGATTAAAATAACCCTTTTTTTCAGTATTTTCTTACTGTAGAGATTTTTCATACACTAACAAAATAAAAATCAATCAACGTGAATGGTGGTTGCGAGTTATTCAAATAGCAACCGTCTTTCAGCGGAGACTACACCTGACTACCATTGACGACGAAGATGATTCGGGTGCTAGAGTACCGCAACCAACATGGAAAATTGGAAATCATCCCGCTGTGATACGAAAACACACCGCACGACTGTTATTCTTCTCCATCTTCACCATCCAGTCTCCGATGAATGCTTTACGCGATTGCCATTTTCCTCTTTCACCATCTCTGCATCCACACAGTGGGTCGGTGCGGAATTTATGTCGCACTCACTTCACCTCTCTTCACTCGATTGCGATGCGAATGACAACGCAGCTGTTATTATTCTCTTCATTTGAGCACAAACAATAGAACGCATCGATAGCGTATACACATACAATCACGAATATTGGATGTGTGCTTTGAGAATTCTCACTGCTATAAAATGATAATATCGGCTGTCTTGTTATCGTACAAAATATATGATTATGCTGTATTTGGTGTGTGTAACAAGAAGAAAATTCTTCCATTGGAGATTTCATTGGGCCTCTTTTCGTTAGCTACATCGAACTAGTCCGTAGGTCAACCCAATGGAATTGTTATCTTATTACTATTTTCCACGCATAATACAAGACGGTTTGCGTACAACATGACAGAACGATACAGCCGAACACACAACTAATTTTCTTTTTTTTTCCCACAGTAAAATAAAACTTCTTTACATCTGATTCAAAATTTGAGATAGAAAAATATACATAGAAAGAACGAAGAAAACACTTAAAAAGAGGCAAACGAAAACAAACAGAAACCGAATGCTTTCTATTTTAGAAAAAGGACACCGTTGGGTCTGCATTGAATTGGAATATAATGGTTTGTAGATTGGATTTTTTTTGTGGGGAGGGGGGGCATAACAACTAAATGAAAGTCAACTAAAAAACGAATTTTTTTATGATATTTATAATAATATTTTATTTATAAATGTTTGTGGTCAATATAAAGTCAACAAAAGTACCAATCTAGAAAGTGCCGAATTAATACCGGTGCGTTGTTATTTTGATTGAAGTAACCAAAATTCATCAAACCATCAGCAGCACGAAATACATAAATTGGTACGCTCAAAAACAAAGCTATCAGTGTTTTACCATCATTTTGTCCATGTCCATTTTTGACAGATTTTACTGGTGTTTGGTTATTCTAGTGTCCGCTCCTTTTCAGTTTTTCTCTTTTCTTCCACAATGCCAAAGAATGATTTTTCCTTTTATCCGCATTGGTGGTTTTGTTTTCGAGCACGATTCTGCTGCCTTTTCTTTGCGAGAAATGTAGATTGTGTATTTGAGATAAAAATGAACTTCAAAATTATGCAGAAATAAAGTAATGAAAATAATCATTTCCATCGGTGAGTTATGGTATGAAACGAATGACTGCGTTTTGTTCGGCGATGGATATACCAGCCGAAAAAGGGAAATCTTTCTTTTTCTTTCTTATTACGATTATTATTTTTATTAAAACATTTTCCTTTTGTATGTTTTCCGCTTTTCTATTATTATCTATCTACAGTCTGTCGTTTTCCACACAGATTCGTTTGAGATAAAAAAAATGGCATGACAAAGGAAAGGCTGAAAAAAAGAATTACAAACAGAATATGCGAACGAAAATAAGGACATTTAAATGTAAATGAAATTCGCGTAACACTGTGCTCAGCATGAAATTTGGAACGCGCGGAATCAACTTTTTTTTTCTTGACAAATAAAACATCGGAGGACGCAGTCCGTTTTGAGTTGAGTGCCAAACTAAAGTGGATCGAGTGGAGAAAACGAAAATTAATCTGAGACAGACATAATGTAAACATTACAGTAACGTAAACAATCGCATCTGGCGATTATAATGAACAATAGACATGCGTTTGGCCGTTTATTTCAGTTGACACTATTCCATGCAAACAATGAAAATTGTCTTGGTAACACATCGATATACGCGGTATTGAACATCGGGATATTTGTATTTGAACAATAATCGATTGCATCATTAAAATTGATGAACCTCGCACAATTCAAATGTATTGAATTTTATGAGACGATATCGTCACCTTTTTCTTTGCTGTTGTGAATTTCTTTTTGTCAAAATGTTTGTATTGATTAAATTTCGGTTCATTATATCAGTGAGAATGCTTGAAACAAAACAAACGAATCGTCATGTGTGCTTTATTAATTTATCGGCGTCATTTCGTTAAAAATAATAGCCGCATAGATAAAAGTGATTCGCATCAACAGCTTCAGTGGATGACATTTGGCAAAAAAATATGCGCATGTTTGATGAGCTGCGTTCAAGAGTACGAGCACATAACACGAAATGAAGTGGTGCTCATGATGGTTTTGCCGTTCACCTTCTGTTGCGTTGAAGCAATCTCATTTATATATTGGCACCCAGTACCGAACAAATGCTCAAGTAATTCAAACGTTCGTCAAGTAAACACATTGCGCTTGAAACGATAATAAAATAAAAAAAGAAGCGAAGAAAGAGAAGCATTTGTTGAATTGAACTTTTTCTCCGAGTTGCGTTTATGCGCAAAGAAATGTGTGTTTATCATCCATTGAAAAAGCGCCTGGATATATTTCTCACTCTGGCGGCTACAGCCCATGATGAAGAAATTCCAAAGATTTTCCCCAAAGTTTTTATGGTTAAAAAAAGACGTAATGGCAAGGCTTATGCTATTTTCGGATTTGAATAATGATGAACGAATGGTTTTGTATAATGAATTAAGTCAGCAGAGAATGTAATTTGCAATTGTTGGAGTAAAAGTTCAAAAGTTCAATCGAATATGTATACTTTTATCCCCCCATCGCCATGAAATCCACTCTCTAGAGAGACAGTGAGAGAGAGAAAGCGAGGAGAAGGGATCGTTTCAAATGACGTCATCAACATTATTTGCGTGCGGATGCTTACGACACTATCCAAAAGATGTGCAAGTTCCCTCACTAGCCGCCAATTCGTACTCCGTCTGAATTGTTTGATTTCGTTGATTCTAGTGCTTTTCACGCTACGTTGTATAAATAGCAGGTCTTTCACTAAAACATGTCACTATTTTCTTTTCTTTTTTTCCCCTTTTGTTTGAATTGTGAGAATTGCTGCAAGCTAGTGATAGAGTAATTTATACGGAAATTTTATTCGTTTGTTTCGTTTCCATAGCATGTAATCGTCCTAGTAAAAATAGCAACACCAAGACCATTGCCGACGAATATTTGTCGAACTAATCTCACACATCGACGAATTACTATTTAGAAAAACCATTTGTTGGGATGCTTTAAGGGATTTTAAGTAGAAGGCATGAACTAATGGCATACATGAAAATGCAAATACACATCACCAACAATCACGGTGTTTCCATCGTTTATTTGCTATTATCATTTTGGATTTACATATTTTGCCATTGAGTTGTGACACTGCTGTATGGCATAAATATTAATCGGATAGTGTTCGTTGGTTGCATGGCATTCACTGAAATTCATTATAAATGGAAGCTTGAATCTCTGATGATTTTCTATTCTCGCATTTTGATTCGTTCTCGGCGGCGAGGATGGAAAAAAATTTGTACAAATGTCTCTGGTGAGGTGTTTGCATGTAGCAACAGTCGGCCGTTTGACGTCATCATACTATTTCGACACACTGAAAAGTCGACAACAACATTTTAGATGCGAAAGCATCAATGTAAACGTTATATATCGATCGAAATGATTTTTGAAATGGATTCGTGTGTTTTTGATTTATGAGAAATGTAGGGCAACACACAATAACAATGACCGCACCGCACGGTGATTACAAAAAAGGACTGAACTACAAAATGTATACTGTGCACGGTGCAGTTAAATATTTTGCTTATCGACGTCATCAAAACTATTATTACCGTCGAATGAAAGAAATCAGAACGAAAATAGGTGCTCCACATAGACGGAAAACCACAACTTATGTCAAATTGGATGCTGTGAAAATTTATACAATTTCACTTTACCTTAATCGATACGGCCATTCTTCGATGTTATGTTACAAAATATTGATGAAAGGGAAACGCACTGTTTACTCAACGTTGGAAATCATAAATATCAGCATTGCTTTTCTGCTAAATTAAACCCGTTCAAAATATGCAAAATATTGCAATAATGCAAACATGAAAATGTGTTACTGGCAAACACCTGAGATCGCTGACGCACAGGAAATACATATTCACCACAAAATAAACAAATAAAATGCTAGAACGATTTTCGTTGTCTGCCAATAAGCAAAACTTTGCTTGCAGGAATATGTAATGTTTATTTCTTAGCACACATAAACTTATATATTTTGGTTTTGAAACATTCAATTTATTGCTGATCAGAAATCTAATTTTCAATTTATCAGAGCCCGTAAATCACATATTTATATTTAAGAGAAAACGAGCTGAGTAAATTTGAGGTGATTTTACTCACACCTTTCGCAATTCTAGTGTTCATAATAATTTAACATTTAATGTAAATTAAGGAAATCCCCAATTTATGTCGATAATGTATGCAAGGTCATAATTATAAACAAAAAAGTACTGATTGCAGAGCATATACTTATGTTGAATTTATGACAAACTTCCGAAAAACACAAGCTCCTTACAAAGAGTTAGGAGAAAATGGAAATGGTTTAAGTATACCAATGTCAGGGCAATTAATAATATGAAAAAATACATATGCAATCAATTGACGTAAATTTCAGTTGTCTCAACAATGTTAGAAAAACACACAGTTTCAAAGATTGGCAGATAACGGATTTAAATATAAATTATCACTCAAAAACTTGCAAAATTGTGTAACTTATTCCTGTTTACAAACAAAGTCATCGATAAGGCCGTTGTCTGATTAACAGACAATATATTTGGATTTTGTCATCTGGATATTTCAGCCCATCTGGATGACGTTAGGCGATGATACAGAGTGAAAACAATTGAAGTGATTGTTATATTTATGGTAGTATTTTTATACCTATAACAATCACAACTATTGTCTTCACTCCGTATCGCCTAACATCATCCAGATGACAAAATCCAAATATATTGTCTGCTGATTAACATTGACTCATTTTCATTACTGAATGAAAAAGAGTAAAAAATGTTGTAATCGTTTAGATTCTGTTTTTTTTTCGCCATAGATTTACGATTACATTGCTATTTATTCGATCGCAGTAATTTAAAATAATCAGTAATTTTGAGACTGTGCGAGCGCATGGTTGTTCATTCATTCAACAATGTTAAAATTAAATTATTTGTGTATTTTCATTGGCGCGCTATTTATTAGTGAGACAAATCAACAGAATGTACACGATTGTAAATTATTTTGTGATGCCGTATCTGTGATTGATTCCGAAACATGTGCATGTGTAAAAACGGCTGTTAGTGAAATTGAGAGAAAAAAACGTTCGTCAGACGGCGATTCCACATCAGACGTGATAAGAGGTGATGAGTTCACGACACATCGATGTAGTAATGATGAAAAATGGAATGGCAGTGCATGTATTTCGACAATTAGCTTATTATGCCCGGGAGGTTATCAATGGAACGGACGTACTTGCATAATTCAAACACGAGTAGAAACGGCTGCTTTGGTGCCTTCCCCTCCAGACACAAAGTGTAAATATGCAAAAGAGAGAGAAAAAGAAGCGGAACGCTTGCAGATGCCATTAATGGTTATGCCCACATTTTCAACATCACCAATGTGCCCGTTTGGTTTTATTTGGTTGTCTAACAGTGGATGCGTACGAAATCCAAATCCTGTTTGTCCAAGTGGATATTCTTATTATAACAATATTTGCCATTTCAATCAGCAACCATTGAAAGATACAATTGTTGAAACTACAACACAGGAATCATCCACAGGTGATATTTTCAAGCAAAACAGTATTACTGGAAATAAATGGCTTAAAAAACCCATCGTCAGATATGAAAATGTTGAATTACCACATAAAGTGGAAACTGAAAATGGTCATTCACCAACTGACGAGGAAGCAGAGATTTCATATAATAAAAATGGGCAACGGTGTTGCAATATGATGACACCGAAAATATGCCGACAAGTTTCAAACGAATTGGGAGTAAAGTGGCAATGTTATCATCAGAAATATAGACGATGCGGTGATTTTTGTACAAAACCTAGTATTTATTTACGCCCCAAACAAATTTCGTTCAACGAACCGATATTGATAATGCCGCCGCCACCTCCAAGGCTCATGAAATTGATGCAAAACCATGTGTTTCGGGAAACAAATATCGGTATGTAACATTCAGTCGATTGAATTCTAATACTATCGAATATAAAACGATAAAGTTGCCATTTTTACATCGTTTTACATATATACAAACTTGACTCAATTATCTACTACCATATGACACCTTATTAAT